CATAAAAGCCTAAAGGGATTGATTGATTGGTGATTGCTTTACGCCGCATCCGCACAAAAAGGCTATATCGCGGCGAAAAGCCTAAAGACATGATAACCCATGCACCGAAAACTGGGGGTTATGCTACGGAAAGGTTAGGCCTATCATGATCCACATGTCGCACTTATGTGTTGCTCAACAGGTGCGGCTCCAAGATTTTGAAAAATTATGGAAAGGACAACATTAGGAGTAGGACTTGTAAACAATTTATGCATTAACCGTATATGCAGCTCCATAAAGGGACCAGGCCCATCTATATTAGTCCCCTCTTAATCCTTCTTTTGCTCATGGTAAGTACACACTCGGAGTTGAGTCTCATTCGGTGATGTCACTCACAATGTAAGAAAACAGGACGAGAGAATGGCTATAACAATTGAAACATATCATATGGTCATCTGTGACACAGATATTCAATAATGGTCAACCAAATGATGGCGCAGTTAAAACATCCGAAGGGATTAGAGTCAACTTTACCACTACCAATCCATGCTTCAATGGCTTGCTTGTGAGGAGCAACCCTATATCAAGGATCGACTCGTCCTGAACATGTGCTGCTGAAATGTTACTACATTACCTGCAATGGAAGGTTCACAATTGGAAAGCTGAAATCATTTCTTTTTCGCAAATGTTTGTTCTCAGTCGTCCCTCATTTTCACTTCTAGATGTAAGTCAAGATAATTATAAGACTTAACAATATCGTGGATATCCATTTTTTTCAAGTTCGATGGGTTTAATGAGTTATAGCCACAACATTTTTGATTATTTGGTGATACTTGGCATCATCTTTATAGCGGAATGTAAAGGATAGTGCTAGCTTCTTTCATCAGTTCTAGAGAATAAACTCGTGTATGAATATTAAAATAAGGAGATGGTATGATTGCCGATAAGACAACTATCCACATCAGTTCAAAGAAGTGCAATTACGGCCAACTGTATGGCCTTCAACAATGAGAAAAACCAGTATCGTTTATAGTCACTATAAAAGGCCCCAACATGAAAAATAGGAAACAATTCAACTGCATAATTTATAACAAAACAATTTACGAAAAACAAATATGATAGACATGAACCACCGACAACCACAGAACTACAGGCCACTGACTTGGGACAGGCAAGTCTGACTCATAAAAATCAAGGAACAAAACAGTACGAAGAGGAGCATAGATTTTTTTGTTATCATAGGAATGCCGATTTTTTTAAAAACGTATTGTCAATAAAAGAGATAATGAATCATCTTGACGATGTCATGTTTAGAGAATTATTGGTTTGAATTAATCAGAGTGCGGTTTTTTTTTCAATAAGCTAAACCATCCCTCGTTCCTTAAAACAAGATGTTTACATATACGGTTTACTTAGTCATATTTTTTTGTATGAATCAATTAAAGTTGGAGTAATGCTTTCAATATGTATGGCAAGCCGTTTTACTAGTTATTCTAACTTCAAGATATCTAATAAACTTTATAAGATATCTCATATAATTTATAAGACATCTCATAAATTTTTTGTTTATAAAATATCTTATGAAATATATGAGATATCTTATACAGTTTACAAGATATCTTATATAATTTATAAGATATCTCATATAATTTTTTTTATAAGATATCTTATATAAAAAAATATTAATAAGATATCTTATATAATTTATAAGATATCTTATATAATTTATAAGATATCTTCTAAACTTTATAAGATATCTTATAAACTTTAGAAGATGTTTTATAAAGTATATAAGATATCTTCTAAAGTAAATAAGATATAAAGTTTATAAGATGTCTTATAAAGTTGATAAGATATCTTATAAAAACTAAATTATATAAGATATCTCATTATATGAGATATCTTATATATTATATGAGATATCTTATAAACTATATAAGATATCTTATAAACTACATAAGATATCTTATAAAGTTTATTAGATATCTTGAAGTTAGAATAACTAGTAAAACGGCTTGCCATAAATATGTCTTAAAGTTATTAGTGTAAAGAATATACATATACTAAGTCCAATGTGGTTATACTATTACAAGATGAAAGAGACTTAGATTGTATCATTCTTACAGATCTTTGGAATATTTTAGTATCGGGTATGGTTGTTGATAAAAGAGAGATACAATTATAAATCAATAATTTGGGAAGAGGTTTAGTAGAGCATTTGGCAGACCCAGTTATATAACGTTGTTTGCATGTTATTTTGATATCCAGTAAAATGAAGGAAGATCGAGTTCTTCGTCTTCAGGGGTTGAAATTCCAAATGAACATAAGATAGACCAGTCCTATGATTGTTCAGGATATAGTGTCGTAGGAGTATATGTTGAGTTTCCAAAACAATTATGGATTCATAAGCCACGCCTTTATCAAGCACTTTATGTGAATGCGATATGCAGCCAAAAACGATCAGTGGTGTTGGGGGCTTTGTCTGTGGAGATAGTAACATATCTGATGGTCTGGATGGGGTTTACAGAATAGATAATAACTAACAAAAAATGCAGAATAAATGGCGAATAGGCAAACGAAAATTAAGAATAGAGAATAATGGGGTGCTAAAATATACTGAAGAATAGAGATTAATGCGCAAAATAAATAAACAAGAGAGAAATATGGTATACATAATAAAATAAAGAATACAGAAAAGAAGGACCCCCATTAAAACACACTTATATCTGTCATGGAGATGAGACAGGTGATGAGCAACATTTGCATCTTTAAAGATAGATGTAGCATATGAGTGTTGGAACGTCCTTGTATATTGCCTAATGATGCATTACTTATTCAGAGGATTTCCTGTGGTAAAGGAGGGTTGAGGTGGGATAAAAGAACAATATTTTTTAACCGAATGATCGATTTCCGAAGGAAAATATCAGTTATTAATTTGGTGATGTACGGCGGCCGATCCGACGACCGGGCGGCTGCCAACTGAACAGTGTCCGTGCAATAACTTGAAAACACTTTGACGAAATCTTATCAAATTTAGATATGTCGTTTCCTGTGACTAAATGAAGGTCAAGTTCGATTTTCGCGATTCTAGCTTTTATCGTTATTGAGTTGTAGATCTTTAAGTAGCGAAAAGTGATACTTATAGCGTTGTCCGTGCAATAACTTGTAAACGCTTTGACGAAATCTTTTAAAATTTAGATATGTTGTTTCCTGTTACTAAAAGAGGGTTAAGTTCGAATTTTACGATCATTTTTCCATCGGACCATGCATATATTACAAGACAACAACCGTTTGAAAGTGGGTTTCTGGAAAGTTATGCACAATAATGTATGGTTTCATATTAAAACAGGTTCGGTGGAATCTCATAAACATATAAGTATAATAGTCCCAGTACTTATATACTCTCTTAAATTCTAATATTATGTCACGTATGAAAAATAGGTCAAGATTGATTTTGACCTTTCCATTTCTGAAGCCTACAAAAATTCAGTTATTGTTTTTAATCGATCCTGTTTCATGTGTTTGGGGGTCCAGATTTGTAAATCATTTTCGTGCAGGAAAATCCGGTTTTCTGTCAATCTGACAGCCTCTTGTCGTTATTGTGACGTTTTCAATGGAATGCAAGGGGAAAATATTACCCAGGGAAAAAGCCACAAGAAAAAAGGGCCACCGTAAACAAGGATTTATTTGTATAGTGAATATAAAAATACAAATCCTTGCAATAACACAACTAATTTGATAAATTAAATTTTTAAATGTGTTTTTTTTTTTACAGATTTTCAGTATGATTTAATAAAATGTTTCATTCCACTGTATGTAAATATTGATAGCGAAATCAACATTTGATTGGTTTAGACGATCCCAAGTGACATTGGACAAAAATTCCCCTCTCAGTACATCATATTCCGGGAATCCCCTCAAAAATGTCGGGACTATTTCGTGCGACCGGTTACGCGCGGTTAATGTACATAACGTTTAATAGTCATTATTGTGTTCAAAACTATTTTAGATGTAAAAAAAAAAAGTGGAAAAATTGAACTTGTCATAGAATAAATGATTAACTTTTGGTTGGTATTGCCTATCAATGTTTATATTCATGCCTCTTGCGACGTTACGCCGCGTTTAATGTACAAACGTTTTGAACGTTTTTCAGAATAGCGATAGTATGATTTTTGTGTTCAAAACTGTTTCATATATAAAAGATTCATAAAACAAAATAGAGAAAAAAATGAATATGATGAACTTGTCATAGAATAAATTATTACCTTTGATTGGTATTGCTTATCAATGTTTATGTAAAAGCGGATAAAAAAAATGTATGGAAACTAATACTTTATGTTCATGAAGTTATTAAAAGTATAGACAGTTGAATAAAACATGTATTTCCCTTGGCTTAGGGAAATAAGAAGATTTGTTATCGGGCGATACCCTCGGGTTCGAAATATGATTTTCTTGGGTGAACAAATCTTCATGTATCTCTCTCAGACACGGGAAATAAATGTATAAACTAGTACTAGTATTTCATTTCTTTTCTCTTTTCATGTTAAAAGTTAAAAGTTAAATTATTGGGAAATAGGCTATGTTTTTTTTCAAATATCAACAAGTTTGTATCATTCAGAGAAATAGAAGAGGGGCCTGAGGGGGGGGGGGGGGGGGGGGTCTCATCACGATTCACGAGTTGATTTTTTTGTCAATCACGATTCACAGAAAATAAATTTCCATGATCACGGATCACGAAAATATAAAAAAAAAAAATCTGTAGAAAAACGGATCACGATAGCGAAAATGCGCCGATCACGAAGAACGAAAATAACCCATCAGGCCCCTCATAGAATGGTTTTAATTTTGCATATGTTTTTGTCTACATGTACCAACATGGATTTTATCCGACTAACAGATTTGGGACATTTTCTTACATTTATCAAATGTAGGACGATTTTTACTGTTTTCCCCGTTTACCTTTTCCTAAATTTAATGAATAGCACGTGACAAAAATCACATGACTATTAATAAATGTTCAAAATGGAGGACGAAGTTGGTTATCAATTTGTGCAGATTTTATCAAAAACTATCGTATTAACAAATATTTGCTAATCACTTTAAGTGTAAACAGTTGATTATTTATCATTATTTGGAATTAGGTGTTTGAAACAGACTGCCACTAACCATGGATGAGAATACAAGCCTTATATCGGGGAAAAATAAAGAAACTGGTCAGTCTGTGAACGGAACAGGATGTAAAGTGAAAGTAGCAGAGGGTGCCGTTCTCATGACAATAACACTAGAAAGAATAGCATTCTATAGTTTAGCAGGAAATCTGGTGTTGTTTTTAAATACAAACCCATACGCATGGACATCATACAATGCTATGTATGCCTTGTTATATTTTTTTGGAATCTCATATTTAATGTCTTTTTTTGGAGGTTTAATCGCAGACACACTGTTAGGCAGATTCAAGAGTCTACTATTGTCCTTGCTCCTGTACTTGGTTGGTTATCTTTTTCTGCCGTTATTACGGAGTACACCTCATAACATACCTATACATCCTGAACTAGATCTGCCAAAACTTTGCAAACTTCATCAGAGTCCTTATATCAATATCTCACATGGATTAATGGATATAAATCAGCAGAAGTCACCATTTGATGAAAGTTGTTCTGGCCTGATGTTTGGAGTACTGACTCTAATTGCTGTTGGAAGTGGTCCATTCAGATCAAATATTGCTCCTTTTGGAGCTGATCAGGTATAGAACATTATCAAGGGTCAGGATTGCGCGTTCTTCATTATCTGTATTCTTTAATTTTTGGGCCATTTTTCTTTATTCTTTATTATAAATTTTGACTAAATACCTATTCTTTATATTTTAGCACCCCATTATCATGATTATCATGATTATTCTCTATTCTTTTTTTTTTTGCCTATTGTCCTCTATTCTTATATTTTTTGCTGTTTAGTCTGCAATTTTTGCCCATTCTTCTCTATTCTGTATACCCCATCCAGACCCTCATTACCTGTATTGAAAACTGTTTTTGAAGTAATTTTATCCTGTCACTCTTTTTAAACTGACAATGATTGAGTTGAAATTAAACTTCCAGTAAAATAATATATAAATGTATAGACCAGTCTGGAAGAAAACATATTTTTCAGATTGTGACCTAGTAAATCTAGACTTACAGACCCTATAATTTTGAAAGGATACTCTAAATACACATATTTATTCTTTGTAAGAAGTCAGGGCAGATTATTGCTTTTCTCTTAGCCATCTGCCTGTGCTGAATACTGTTGAACATGTTGAAGGGTGTTAGATAATAGATATCCATTTATTTTTTGGATGATTATCTACATTGAACGGATACAATGTGCATGATGTAGTGAATAAAATGGTAGATTGTGATAGTCATTTTACATTGTGAATTTATAGACCTTTTCGGTAAACTAAAAACTTTCTAATCATACAGTAATAATAAATAAGGAAACAACATACATGTAAGTGGAAATCACAAGTTAACTATCACTTAGTTCATACATGTTATAAGGGAAAACTCTGAGTCATTTGCATTTAAAAAATCATTGTCTTTATAAAGTCCTTAAGGGTTAAAGTCCTTAAGGGTCTCCCTGTTAAGTGAACAACTCAATTTTAGAATTTGTACAGATTTTGCACCACCTGACTACTTGATAAATATTTAAATATTTTTTTATATAAGTTTTTTTTTATAAATTTATTGTTTCAGGTTAAAGGTGAAAGTCAGCAAGCTAATTTGACTTTTTTCAATTGGTATTACTGGTGTGTTAATGTTGGAACACTGATTGCATTGTTAGTTATTACATATGTACAACAACATGAAAGTTTTTATGACGGATACTTGTCTGCATTGATTTGTCTGGCTGTGGCAGCTTTTGTATTCCTTTGTGGTAATTATAACATCATATTTTTAAAGCTGGATACATCCAGGTTTATCTACTGTAGATTTATTATTATTCGTGGGATATTATTATACATACCTGCCAACTTTTCAAAATCTCTATGGGGGATTTTAAGTGCAAGAGGACTTTATGCTTCTCTTATATTGTCCTAAGTGTTCTTAATCTACTACTATATTGTTTGAATGAGTATATATGTGCTTAAATACCCTTATAACTCATTTGAATGCCTGTTTTGAGGTGTTGAGTTTATAAAATAAAGAATTTCAAAATTCAGGTCAACACCTCTCATGGGGGATATCCCCCATAAATCGGGATAGTTGGCAGGATACCAATTTTCGTGGATTTCGTGGGTAAAGGTAAACCACAAAGTCAGATGTTAAATGAAGTATAAATTTTCTATAGTCTTGAGTGAGAAGTTTAGCTAGCTATAAAACCAGGTTCAATCCACCATTTTCTACATAAGGAAATGCCTGTACCAAGTCAGGAATATGACAGTTGTTTTCCATTCGTTTGATGTGTTTGAGCTTTTGATTTTGCCATTTGATTAGGGACTTTCCTTTTTGAACTTTCCTCAGAGTTCAGTATTTTTGTGAATTTACTTGAATGCAGACTTTGGCAAATCACAAAATCAAATATCTTTGAAAATGCAACTTTTTCCCAATCCACGAAAATTGGTACCCATGAAAATAAATGTTTCCACAGTATTGTAAACTGATGTCAAAAATTGTCAACCAGATGAAAGTGTTTATTCTATTCAATTTTTTTTTAATTTATATTGGGTTACAAGTATAAAAAGTCTGTAATTAATGGTTCTATATATAGCATATATATATGTGAACTTTTTATGCATAAAATAAAGAATCAATGCAAAATACATTGTAAAACAATAACAACAAGCAGGAAACAACATCTTGAAACTTTCAAAAACAAGTACAATGTACTTGTATATATATATATATATCATTAAAAACTACTCTTAAAAAAATGCACTTTTGAAAGTGAATCATATACAAATTTCAGGTCTTCCCAGTCCCAAATACATACAAGGTTATTATATTTAGCAGATTAAAAAACAATTCCCTCCTACCATGCCTACCAAACCTATTTTTGTTAAGGAGGAAAACATAAAAATACATACTTTTAATCTTCCAAGACCCAAAGAGTCTCATCACTTGGCATCTGCGTCGTCTGTTTACTTTTTTTAAAACAAAAATTAACTTCTCTGAAATTATTGGGCCAATTGGAACCAAAAATGGCCACAATTATCATCGAGGTATCAAGTTTGAAAAAGAATGTGTCTGATGAGCCTTCCTGCCAACCAACATGGAGGACATGGCTCAGAATAGAAGATAGGTGTAAAATCAAGTTTTGTCTATTATCTTGAAAACAGCTATAGATAGAACGAGAAATCTATTCTAAGTAGCAAAAAGTTCAGGATGTTGAGATTAACCTAAGTGTATCCATTTACACCAGAACTGTCAGATGACTCATTATAGGAGTTATTCACTATTGCCCTTAAATGACAAGTTTCACCCATTTTTTTTCTTCATTTTTGTCTATTATTTTAAAAACTAAATAGAAAAAATTATCAGCAAGACAAGATCTAAAATTGTCAACATGGCCAAAAACGTCAGTTGACTCCTTCTTGGACATGTAGGAGTAACCATCCCTAAATGACTATTTTAACCATTTTTTTTGTATTTTTAGCCAAAATTATAGTAGATAAAGAAAATTTGTATATAAAAAAACTGATAACCAGGACAAGACTTGCAGATAAATCAACATGGAAGAAATCCTGGATTAACTCCTTGAAGGAGTTATGCCCTTTAAACATGTTCAATAATGATTTTTATGGCCCGAAACACTAAGCATCTTCACATTTTGAGGTGATTTTTAGAATGTGAGTTTACTATGATGAGTTACAGATCAAGTTTACATTTGGTTCTGCTCCGCTGATTTTTGCCAAAATTATGGGCTTTGGACTTTGAAAATTTTGTGAAAATAACAGTTATACATACTTTTTTTCTAACAATAAACAGTCTTCCTATCTTCATGATCTTAGGCTAATCTACATTGAGTTTGCATTTTTTTCTAACCATGTTGATTTTTGTGAAAATTATCAATCTTTTTTTTTCAAAATTTCCACTCCTATAAATGGCTTCAAGCTTTTTTTGCGAGCAGGGCTATTCATGTTGTTCCATGACATCTAGCATGTCTAGGTTGACCTAACTATTTTTTGCACTTTTGATCAAAACTATTAAACAGCAAAGAGGATGTGCAGAACAACTTCTACAAATAAGTCAACTTTGTCTAAATTGTCAGATGACTTATTACAGGAGTTATTGCCCTTTATTGATGATTTTTAACACTTTTCATGGATTTTTGGCTAAAACTATAATAATTTAAAAAAAATATACTAAAAAGCAAAATTGATTAGAAAGACGAGATCTGCAAATATATAAGCATGGTGAAGTTTTCAATCAACTCCTAAATGAGTTATTGCCCTTACATGATAAATTTTTCCATTTTTGACAAAACTATATTTGATAAAAAAAACTGTATAAACAGCATAAAGGAGGAGCAAGATTAGATCTACAAATAAATCAACATTGCAGAAATTGTCAGTTGAGTTATTGCCCTTAAATGACTATTTTTACTCCTGTTATTGTGCTGGGCAAACATTATAGTAGATAGAAAGGAACTGAAAACAGATACAGCAATACAAAATCGACAAAATGAAGATCTTAGTCATTAAGTGCCAATCTGTCTAAGAATCAGGCAGTGGTAAAAACATGACAAACAAAAACCCGCTCAACTTTACATTAATTTAAGTTCAGAATGTATATTGGTGCATGAATATAACATTCGTTTCCCTTCCCTATTCTTGTAATTCAAGATATAATTTGGTTGAAATGCACTGGAAATCAACAACTTAGGGGAGATAACTCTGTAATTTGCTATCATTCTAACCTAACTTTATCTATATTTTTCTGGAATTACCAGACATGCAGAAACGAAAGACCTACCATTTCTAACTCAGGATAAGGGTACCTTCAAAGAAGGGTGGTTAGGTTAGTGGGTTTTTTTCTGTCATGTTTTGAAATTTTTTCTAAATTGCCTGATTCTTACAAAGACTGACACTTAATTACCTTCCTTTCTGGTCTACTCTAGTGTGATTGACTACGCTAGTGTGATTGACTACTCTAGTATGATTGACTACTCTAGTGTGATTGACTACTCTAGTGTGAATGACTACTCTAGTGTGATTGACTACTCTAGTGTGATTGACTACTCTTTTGTGATTGACCTACAATGTATTAATGTCAACCACCATTTTTTTTTTTAAATATATATACATCATGTTTGTCTAAATAAAATAGCAATAGATCCTACACTGTTTTAACATTAAAATATTAATAACAAAGTAAATGTAGTATGAAGAATTTGTCTTACAGCATGAAAAAAATACACTACACTTGGATAATAAATTCATATTGATGCTTCAATGTGTCTTAAAACAAATTTATCTTATGAATGTAACAGGTTCCTGTAGTTATGTGTACAGGCCAAGGACAGGCAGTGTGTTTAAGAATATATTCACAGTCTTATGTGAAGCATGCAACAAATGTTGCAGGAGACGAAAACCTGATTCAGGGTAAGTGTATCCCATACTCTGCATGAGCATTGTCATTTACTATATAGTTTCATGAATATTTTCAGCTTTCAGTAAAAGATATTCAAGTAGAAAATAATTTCAAAATCAGAGGAAAGAGACATTATTTAATCGACTACAACACTCATTTTAGACTAACAAATTTTACTCACATAATAATCATTTTAATAAGAATTTAACATATTATTTGATTTGTTCAGTATTAAAATCTCTTGTTTGAGCCTCTGAGGTGACTTTCAGTTTCTGGTATATTTACCCGAGTTTCACTTAGACAGTGCTAGTGAAGTTGCTATAAACTTCTCATGTAAAAATTTAAAAGAATAAAGTTTGATAGTAATTAGTACTAGCTTTTAAAATGAAATCCATAACTCAAAGAAGGAATAATTTTGAATTCTAGAAAATTGATAAGAAATGTATGATGATACTAACCCAATTTAGGCTAAAGGGGGGGGGGGGGGTTAGTTAGTTCATACTAAAATATCAGTGAAAGTGAAATTAACCTCAGCCATTATCAATTATTAATTTTTCAGAATTCAAAATGATTCCAGATTCAAATAATTCCTTGTTACAATTGCATTTTAAAGTTGTTTCCCCCATCCCATCAATATTTATAAAGTGCACATAAATTTTTGCAAAAATGTCAGAACAGTACATTTCCCTACAAAACGTTCTTGTAAGATGAAGATATCATTCTTTGGAGGTTTGAAAAATTGAAACAAATGCTTTAAAGGATCATTGTCTCATGTACATTCAACCCATATCCCTCCTGTCTTGTTGATGTGGATGACCTGCCATAACAAACAAACTCAATCCATAACTCTGGTCATCTGTTGATGTGGATGACCTGCCATAACAAACAAACATACAATCACCTCATTTATTCAGGTCAATTTCTCATTAGTATAGACATATATATATATCATGTATAAAGGAAGAGGTTAAATACTTATCAAACAAACTTTATTTGATTAACTTATCAGATATTAACCCCTTATGAAACATTATACTATTTATTGTTTATTTAATTGCAAAACTGCAGAATTAAGTTTTATTTGTTGCTAGTAATTGAAATTTAATTCGGTAAACATGGTAATCAAATGCTGTTCTGGTTACATTACTTATATGTTAGGAGCAACAATTAAATCTGAAATGACTTTCATCTTACATTTGTCTGTCCTTCCTTCCCTTCTTCTGTCTGTCAATCCATCCACCCACACATAAGGGAGCTACCATTTGATTTTTATGGGGGGGGCTAGGATGAAAAATTTTGTCCTGCATTTTTTTTTAGTTGTAATCTCTGTCCTGCCTTTTTTTTTTTAAAGTTTATCCTGACTTTTTTTTTTGCAAGTGTCTCATCCTGCCTTTTTTTTTACTCAAAACTCCTATCCTGCCTATTTTTTTTCAAATTTCATCCTAGCCCCCCATAAAAATCAAATGGTAGCTCCCTAAGCAATATGATTTATCTGTCAAAATTCTCTTAAGGTTAAAGAGTTCTATTTATTTTGTAGAATAGTTTTACTAGTACTGCAGTGGTTCTATTTATTTTGTAGAATAGTTTTACTAATACTGCAGTGGTTCTGCTTATTTTGTAGAATAGTTTTACTAGTACTGCAGTGGTACTGTTTATTTTGTAGAATAGTTCTATTTATTTTGTAGACTAGTTTTACTAGTACTGCAGTGGTTCTGTTTATTTTGTAGACTAGTTTTACTAGTACTGCAGTGGTTCTATTTATTTTGTAGAATAGTTTTACTAGTACTGCAGTGGTTCTGTTTATTTTGTAGAATTGTTTTACTAGTACTGCAGTGGTATTGTTTATTTTGTAGAATAGTTTTACTAGTACTGCAGTGGTACTGTTTATTTTGTAGAATAGTTTTACTAGTACTGCAGTGGTACTGTTTATTTTGTAGAATAGTTTTACTAGTACTGCAGTGGTACTGTTTATTTTGTAGAATAGTTTTACTAGTTATTGACTGCAGTGGTACTGTTTATTTTGTAGAATAGTTTTACTAGTATTGCAGTGGTTCTGTTTATTTTGTAGAATAGTTTTACTAGTACTGCAGTGGTTCTGTTTATTTTGTAGAATAGTTTTACTAGTACTGCAGTGGTTCTATTTATTTTGTAGGATAGTTTTACTAGTACTGCAGTGGTTCTGTTTTTTTTGTAGAATAGTTTTACTAGTACTGCAGTGGTTCTATTTATTTTGTAGAATAGTTTTACTAGTACTGCAGCAGTGGTTCTATTTATTTTGTAGAATAGTTTTACTAGTACTGCAGTGGTACTGTTTATTTTGTAGAATAGTTTTACTAGTACTGCAGTGGTTCTATTTATTTTGTAGAATAGTTTTACTAGTACTGCAGTGGTACTGTTTATTTTGTAGAATAGTTTTACTAGTACTGCAGTGGTACTGTTTATTTTGTAGAATAGTTTTACTAGTACTGCAATGGTTCTATTTATTTTGTAGAATAGTTTTACTAGTACTGCAGTGGTTCTGTTTATTTTGTAGAATAGTTTTACTAGTACTGCAGTGGTTCTGTTTATTTTGTAGAATAGTTTTACTAGTACTGCAGTGGTTCTATTTATTATTATACCTCACAGGTTTTGTATGTTCATCGGTCCGTCCATCTGTTCCACTGTCAGTTGGACTGTCAGACTGTTCATCCGTTCATTCATCCAACAATTATGTCCCCTCACACATTTTTCAGGTACTACTGAACAGAATGACTTCAAATTTGGTCAGCAACATGATAGTGATGAGTTATAAGGTGTGAGCAGTTTCAGACACCTACTTCCTGTTTACCTAAACTTTGATTTTACAATATGTTGAATGAACTTAGAATTTTGAATCACACATTTCTCCAGTTCTTCTAAACAGAATGACTTATAAATTCATCAGCAGCTTGATAGTGATGAGCTGTAATGTGTGAGCAATTACCAGATCTGTCAGACACCCACTTCCAGTTTACCAATACTTTGAACTTTTCAATATGTTCAATGAAGTTAAAACTTTCGTCAGACTTTTCTTAAAAAAGCTGTGAGCTGTAACATGTAAGTGCCTTTCAGATCTGTCAGATACCCACTTCCTGTTTGCTAATACTTTGAATTATAAGTAGGGTATACTTAACACAATAACACCTTCTTGTTTTCTTTACTAAATTATCAGATGTTGAACATTGTTCAATTTGATGTATTATTTTTTGATAGGGTACATAGTTTGTCAATCTTTATGAACAAATTTTGATTTTAAACTTTGTAGTCCAACAGGAATATATTATAGTCCCCTCAACCTCCTCAAGACTTCCATTAATCTGTTTCCTTAGTTAAACGTTCTATTGCATTTTTAAAAGAAGCACAAGTCAGTTCCGTACTTAAAAAAATTAAAATGTTTTAAACATTAGTAAAATATATTGCATACTGTGGATTCATTATTATTCGTTGGATACCAATTTTCGTGGGTTTCGTGGGTACAGTTGAACCACGAATTCAAATGTTCAACGAATTGCAAATTTTCTATAGGCTTTGTATGCAGAGATTAGCAAAACCACGAATTCAAATATCCACGAAAGTGCAAGTTTTCCTGAATCCACGAAAATTGATACCCACGAAAATAAATGAATTCACAGTACATACATGAATATTAGTGGTTTTGTCCTAATAAGGAACATCAAATATATTATTTCAGTTTATAGCACCATTTAAAAGATCTAATATTTCTAACAATGAACAATTTCATTTTACAGTTTTGGTGATAATGCCATTGAACAGCCTTCATCATGTTTGGACCATGCTATGTATCGATATGGAGGAAACTTTCAGGAGGGAACTGTTAATGAGGTTAAAAAGGTCCTCAAAATTATATGTGTGTTCCTGACCATGGTTCCATACTGGATGGTTTACTTTCAGGTAGGAGTCAAATTTTTATGCCCTGCCCTAGGCGACGGGAGTATTAAGTGTTTCCCTTGACCGTCTGTCCTTTAGGACCCTCTTTCTGTCCTTCTGTCTTTGCTTCCTTCTGTCTTTCTGTGTGTCCGTCCGTCCCTTTTTCGTTTGTTTGAAGCTTGAGCAGAGACATTCGTGTCCTCAGACACATTCTTCTTTTATTTTATAAGATTTTATCAAGGATCCACATGGAAATTCTACTTGCTTCTGTTAGTGTGGAATATCAGGGGTGTGGAAATATAAAAATTCTTAACTTTTCCTGGGACAAGTATAATACAAAAGTCTACCTTCCAAGAACATTTTTCGACTTGATCTTCATTCAAATGAAATGTGAAAAATGAAAAAAAAGTGAATGCATTGAGATAAAATCATTTGCCAACACGTTTGATCCATATCATTTCCATTACCAGAAATACTCTTTTACTATTCTCTGATTTCTCATGTCATTTAAACGTTTTATGGGATAACTGGATCCCTGCATCTTTGAACTGATATTATTCAAACACCCCTCTTTATTCTTAAGTACACAATCCAACTCTGCCTAAAGAAATATATTAATTTTATCATTTAAAAACATTCATCGAAGCAGTCATAAGAAAGTTTTCCCCATTAGAATATTCATCCCTTAGCTCAACATACTGACTTAGATTTTATGCCCAACAAATGCACAAATGACGTCAAATAACGTCACCTAAAACCAAACACTTTGACGGAAAGATAACGATTGGAATCAAGCGTATTCCAACATTTCAGCAATCAAAACTACAAGACGCCATTACACAAGTAAAAGTTTGAAACAATCATTTAAAGTCACTCATAGATCTAGACAATCCCTGGATTGTCTTATTAGAGTCTGTATTGGTAAACATTCCTAATGGAGGAAATGACTGCAGATAGCACCTCAAGCGTCTATGTATACATTTTTGTAAATAACAAACTCATCTAAACTTGGGGGGTGAATAAATGCATGATACACGGAAAGGGCGCACTAATCAATCACTGAAGGTTATATGGTGGATCAGACTACCGTCCCCAGTGGAGCTGGGGAGAAAACTGATTGGTGGTCATGTGGTCAAATTTGCTGTACTTTTTACAGTGACCACTAGCCTTTCAACATTGAGGTTCGTGCAAGGTCAGTTCGACTTTGATCTTAATTGACTAGGATTGCCAGTTTTTGGAAGGTCAGTGGTCCTCTCTAGATACTCCAGCTTCCTTCACCAATAGAAAATGGCCCCCATGGTGTACCTTATGTAAAGAAAGTGGTGTTTAACACAACCAATCAATCATCAATTCTACATCATGTCTAAAGGGATGATATTTTATTCTTATCCAGTTTATGACCATACAGGATATTACTATTATCTTGTTTAAACAGACTTGTTTTGATTAAACTATCAGATAGTGATTGTTATAAAACATTGTACTTTTACAAAACATTGCACTTCTATTGAATTGCCAAATAAATTATATACAGTGAAACCTGTCCAAACTGAATCTTGCATAAACCGAAAACTTGTCTAAACCAAACATGTTCTTAAGTCCAGTCATATAAAACTTTATGCATTATAAACTTGATTAAACCAAACATCTGCCAAAAACCGAACAAAATTCTTAAGTCCAAGAGAGGTTTGATTTAGACAGGTTTCACTGTATTTGGTAAACAAACAACCTTTCAGGTTACAATATAAGAATTATTGGAAGATTTACTACAATACTATAATACTGTAAAAATATCTCTCTTGATACTTTCTTGGTTGATATTATTTATTATTTTAGTTATATAAGATTAATGACTTTTAATGAGGGGAATGCATTGATTTATCAACCTATGAATATTTATATAGTTACCAGAGTCTGTGAGCCAAGGTTAATTGGAACTTCTAATCAAAGGATCAATAAACCTTGCACCCTTTAGATAAAAGTTATTAATTGTATATTTGCATAACATATTTATTTTGATATTGAATATAAACTAAATCCATTTGATGTTGGATGTGTACTGATTGATATTTTAGTCTTAGATACTTGATTTTTTTTATTAGTTGTTATTGGCTTTCAACTAGCTGTCAGTAACTGCGAGTACTCTCAGATCTGTACTTGGTGTCTTATTTGTTGTTAGAGATGAGGGATAGATATATACCCTGCCACGTCCTGGCTGTGTTTTTATGCCCTCTTCGTAGAGGAGGGGGCAGTTAGTTTCACCCTTGTCCGTCTGAACGTTCGTCCGTACGTCCCAAAGTTGGTTTCCATTCTCTAACTTTAGTTTGCCTCAACCAAATGTTATGAAACCTATACACAATGCTTATTACCATAAAACACAGGTCAAGTTTGAATTTTGGTGGCGTCACTTTAACCAATCTAGAGTTATGCCACTTTACAGATGGAAAAATTGCTGATTTTTCGTTTCCGTTCTCTAACTTTAGTTTGCCTCAACCAAATGTTATGAAACTTATACACAATGCTTATTACCAAAAAATAAAGATCAAATTTGAAGTTTGGTGGTGTCACTTTAACCATTCTAGAGTTATGCCTGTTTACAATGGAAAAATTGCTGAATTGCTGAATTTTTCGTTTCCGTTCTCTAACTTAAGTTAGCCTCAATCAAATGTTATGAAACTTACACACAATGCTATTACCACAACATACAGATCAATATTGTATTTTAGTGGTGTCACTTTTACTTTTCTAGAGTTATGTCTCTTTACAAATGGGAAAATTGCTGATTTTTTTTCTGTTCTCTAACTTAAGTTTGCCTCCACCAAATGTTATGAAACTTATACACAATACTTATTACCACAAAACTCAGATGAATTACAAATTAGGGTAGCATCATTTTTACCGTTCTTCAGATATGTCCCTTTATAACTTTATATGTTATGCAAGCGGGGGCATCATCTGTGTCCCATGGACTCATTCCCCATTTATTGTTTGATGTTTTTCTTTGTATCAATCTGATGAGTTTAGCATTTTTCAACTTATTTTTATAGTTTGTCTTATGTTGTGCTGTTACACCACTGTACCAGGTTAGGGGAAGGGTTGAGCGCTCACAAACATGTTTAACCCCGCCACATTCTTTATTTGCCTATCAGGAGCCTGTAATTCAGTGGTTTTTGTTGGTTCATGTCTGTCATATTTGTTTTTTGTAAATTGTTTTGTCATAAATTAGGGTGTCAGTTTTCTCAATTGAATTGTTTCATATTTTTCATGTTGGGACCTTTTATAGCCGACTATAGGGTATGGGTTTTTCTCATTGTTGAAGGCCGTATGGTTGCCTATAATTGCTTACATCCACTTCATTTTAACTTTGGTGGATAGTTGTCTCATTGGCAATCATACCACAACTTCTTTATATTTTTATTTCCAATTCATTGATTTTCTTTGATAACTAGTGCAAATTGTTGAATTATTTACAACTTATTAGGCCAAAAAGTTATAGTTGTGTTTCCTGCCTCCCTACCTACCCTAGATTTGCATGCCTATGTATACCCTAACACATTTTATGGACATTTGTGGTTATGCACTATTAAATTCCTGGACATTTTCCTATATATTTTATGTAAAATATTTTTTTGAAATAAAATCATTTATTTCCTTCTTACTTCACTATTTTTGTTTGCCAGGTGACAGGAAAAAAGTATATATTTTTTGGGGTCTAAGGTTCACATAAAGTGATAACTGAGAATGTTACTAAGGACCCAACAATTCAGAAGTTCTTATAATAGATAACATTTAGACCCTCAATTAAAATGTTGTAGTTTTCTTAAACCATTCATAGAGACCCTCATTTCTATAACAAACCAAGTTATTTTTCTCTCTTGTAGATGGAGACAACATTCCTGTTACAAGGACTTCATATGAATTTAAACTTGCCAAAAGAAAGTACTAATGTAACAGTTGACTGTAACCCCCAGAATTCCACAGGAAATGACGACCCTGATGATATCTCTGGCAAGCCTCCAAAGGTATCAGCTCATCTTATATCCATCTCTCAGGATAAAGCAGACGGCATACCAACTACCAGCCTGTGTTAAATTTAAAGATATGAAAATAATACTTTATAAATTTGGTGCTTCTTAAGCACTCCTCTGGATTTGCATTCATCGGGAACAGTCAAACCCAAAAATTTGAAACCTACCAATGTACAGTACTTGAATATGTGATGAATCAACTCATCATAGATATCAGGATTGAAATTTTGTACTCCAGACAGACGCATGTTTCGTCTGCATAGACTCATCAGTGATGCTCGAATTAAAAAAAAATTAAAAGGCCAAATAAAGTACGAAGTTGAAGTGCATTGAGCCATGAGGACACAAAATTCCTAAAAGTTTTGCCAAATACAGCTAAAGATCTCTATTCCTGAGGTAGAAAACCCTTAGTATTTGAGGGAAACCCTTAGGCTTACATATTATCATGCTATATGTTCAATCTTCTGATTTCCTGTTTTAATTTTTTTGTTCACTTTAGGAATTTGAAATATATTAACCTGAAAAAAGGAAGGTTGAATAATGTTGATAGAAATTATAGAAAATGTCTTCTTTGCAATTTTGATAGCATCGGTGACAAATTTCATTATTTGCTTGAATTCCGTTTTTTTTTTTTTTTTACAGTTAGAATTTATACTTTGATAAATTCTATTTAGCACGTGTAAATATTTTAAAAGTCAATGATATCTTAAGGTTTGTGATAAGGTCAGTTTAGGGGGAACCACTTGTGATTAGTCAATGATATTGGTTTGCAGTTTTATAAGCATTGGCTTATTTCATTTCCAGCATTGGTTTGTTTTTGCCGTGTGCCCTCAGTCATATTTAATTGACTTTGAAACTTTTGTATAATTTACATGTTAAAGTGTTGCCATTTTGATTATAACATTTTCATTATACCATCAAAATTACACACAGGCGAGGCATATCTTTGTGTCAACAGTTTATTATTTTTTTTTTTATTTCAGCTTGTTGCAGCATGGTTATCAATATTTGACATTATATTTGTGATTATTCTCATACCAGTGTTTGATCGTATAATTTATCCACGGCTAGCCAAGGCAGGACGTCCTATGGGATTTGTATTACGTGTAAGTCTTGGGATGATGATTGCTGCTAGTGCGGTATGTGTGGCTGGAGTTGTAGAACATTATCGCCTGAAGTCAGTTTATCAAAATGATAGTATGCCTTGCTGTAGACATACAGTTCAACAAAAAATAGGTAAGATATATTTGATATTGTTCTGTTGTTGACAGGCATACTGTGGGTTCATTATTATTTGTAGGATTCAGATTTACATGGATTCTTAATTAAGGTGGTACCTAACACTACAGGGAGATAACTGTAAATTCAGCTAAACGTTTTAATTACGTTGTATTGTTAAGGAAATATTAAGCTTCTCAATGATTCAAATAAGTGTTTGTCAAGCTGCTATATATCCAATGAAATTTTTCCGAGAAAGTGATTGGTTCAAGTTTTTTGAAATTTTATATTTTTTTCAAAGGGTCAAAGTTAATATTTTGTCAAAATTTTATGAAAATTAAACGAGCCAAATTAATTTTAGTCAAGGTGTTGGGTACCACCTTAAGGTATAGGTAAACCACACATTTAAATGTTCAACAAAGTACAAATTTCTATAGGCTAGTACATGCAGACAAAACCATGAAATCAAATATCCATGAAATACAATTGTTTCTGCGATCAAAGAAAGTTTGAACCCAAGACGATACATGAGATGCATCAGACAGAAATTGACCTTATGCAAATGAATATCAATACATCTGTTAACTTATTTTGGGTAGAAAAAATCTTGATGCAAATTCTGTAACTGTTTGAAAATTGAGTTGTTATAAGAACCCTACAAAACAGACCAAAATTCATCTTTTATGTCGTATTTGAATGTTCCAAAAATCATTCAAAGTCTTATACATATATATGTATACATCCACTTGCATATTAGGTTTATTGATATCCGACGCAGCTCACATGTAAATGAATCCACAGTAAGTGAAAATTACGTCACATGGAATTCTTAAATATCATTGCTTTTAGTCAGTCTATGAAAATTTCAGAATGATTTGTTGAATGCATACAAAAATAGATAATCACCCAGAATTGTTTTGGCCATTGTTTGCCAATTCTAATATTTGGCAACAAGCAATTCTGAAATTCTTATAAAGTCAGCAGTGCTTTTCATGAAGTAAATACCTTACATGAAGTCAACAGTGCTTTTCATGAGGTAAATATCTTACATAAAGTCAACAGTGCTTTTCATGAGGTAAATATCTTACATAGGATGTGTGTTCTGGGGTTGGAACCCCACCTCTTTTTTTTTAAATTAACAAAAAGAAAATTTATATATGAACCTTTTATGGTGTTCTGGGGGTTGGAATCCCCCCTTTTCAAAATGGCTGGATCTGCGCCTGGTCCGGTTGTTGTTTACATCCATGTCTTTTACAATAATTGGTCCCTGGTGGATAGTTGTATCATACTACATGGCCTATTTTTGTCTCGCCTGCGACAAAAGTCGAAGTATTGCGAGACATGGGGATTACTATCCCACGGTTTAAACTATTTGTATAAAGCTTCATATTTCAGAAGGTAAAAGACCTGGATGCTTCATATCTTGTATGCAGATACCTTATGTTATGAAGTTTCCCTCTGTCGTACATCCATTGTCCTTGACTTCATTTTAATGGTTCAGCTACTGCTTGAAAAAAAAATTGAAGTTTTTTTTTGTCATGTGAATTTCTCAGGAGTAAAGTTAACTATATTTGATATATGGGATCCTTTCAACATCTACATGTCCGTCATACAGGGCTTCACCTGACCTCGACCTCATTTCATGGGTCAGTGATCATGGTTAAAGTTACTTGATTAGGTCGGTTCCTCAAGATAATATAAGCAGTAGGTAAACTATATGTGGTGTATGGAATGATTGTAAGGGGTACATGCCAGTTTGGCAGGTTTCATCTGACCTTGACCTCATTTTCATGGTCCATTGGTCAATGTTAAGTTCTTGTGTTTTAGTCTGTTTTCTAATTATCATAAGCAATAGGTCAACTATATTTGTTGTATGGAATATATGTAAGGTGTACATGTCTGTCTGGTAGGTATCATCTGACCTTGACCTCATTTTCATGATTCATTGGTCATTGTTAATTTTTTGTGTTTTGGTCTGTTTCTCTAAATACCATAAGCAATAGGTCAACTATATTTGGTGTATGGAATAATTGTTAGGTGTACATGTCTGTCTGACAGGATTTATCTGATCTTGACCTCATTGTCATGGATTTAAAAAAAAATTAAGTTTATGTGATACTTGTAGTTGAACCTTTATCTTTAAGACTTTCAACATAAAATCAATGGTCAGTAAAGCAGGCGAGACATTTCAGCATGTGCACTCTTGTTATATCTAGAGGAGAACTTACGTTAATGTTCCTTTGAAAAATTAATTTCAAGCTAATTGCTAATTAACTATATAAAACAGTGCAAAATATACCATATTTACTTGTAGGGCATACTGTATATAATGCAGCAGAGATGTCAGTATTGTGGCAGATACCACAGTATGCACTGATTGGACTGAGTGAAGTATTTGCCTCAATTGCAGGTAAGTAACTGTACATTGTTAGATCAATCAGAAATAAAGTATCTGCATTAGATATGATAAATGTAGATTCCACTTCTTAGCTCACCTGGCCCGAAGGGCCAAATAAGCTTTTGCCATCACTTGGTGTCTGTCGCCTGTCATCATTGTCCTTCATCGTCTAAACTTAACCAAACTTGGCCACAATCATCATTGGGGTATCTAGTTTAAAAAAGTGTCTGATGACCCCCGCCTGCCGACTCTGACCTTGTCCTTTGACGCCTATGTTAGTAAAACCGCATCCAATTCATGTCAGGCTCATATCTTTTGTACTGTAAGCATACCTGCCAACCTCTGAAACCTTCAAAGAGGGAGATCTCCCCCTCAGCTATGACAGCTGAGGGGGAGATTTTGTGCAAACGACATTTTCAAGTTAAATATATGACCTGTTTACGTATTCATCTACAAAACACCAATAAGAGTTAATAAATATACTTTATTTCTTCAATTCATGGTTATAATCTATACAAATCCTTGATCTATACAAGGGTGGTTTTTTTTAAAGCCTTTTTCAATACCTCTGAGTCTCATAACTCATAACATTCCATATTTTGATTTTGTTGTGAGTCTCACACTAAGCATGCTTTCAAAGATCATACAGACCACCAGAAGAAATCGAAAAGTTGATTGAACATGATGTGCAAAAAGATTCATTTGAATCATTGCCAAGTGAACTTGGTCGTAAAAATTGAAAATCTTTCATTCAAATCTACTTGACATTTCAATTTGCAGTTATCTATTTCTTCTTTTTTAAACTGCCGCTTGGACCAGACAAAACCTCTATCTTGTTGGAGTTGACATAGCAGAACTGAATTTCGATTACTTATATATCGAACATAAAAACTACTGACCAAAGTTTTCAAATGATCGCCGATTGTTTATTTATTTCTAATGAAAGTAATGAAAAAGCCAGAGAATTACGAATGCGGGTTATTCCAGGTCAAAATATCTGAAAGCGGGAGATTCTATACTCTCTCCTAGGAGCGGACTGGCAAGCAGGAGATTTCCAGAATTTCCTTGTTTGCGTGGGAGACTCCCGCTCAAAACGGGAGGGTTGGCAGCTATGTGTAAGACTTAGGTTAACCAAACTTGGTATGCAGTTGCATCATGGGCTTTGGGTGTGTCAAATACCAAAGTTAGTTTCCTCTGACCTTTGACCCCTAGTATAGTTAAACCTTTGTGTCATGTGTGTAACTCTTGTACCATACAACTTAGCTTGATCAAACTTGGTATGCGGATACATCATGGTATGGGTGTGTATCTTTTATCAAAGTCTGCTCACTCTGACCTTGATTTTGACCTGTAGTACTTAGATTGGCAAACTTTTATATGCAAAAGCATCATACTGATCTTGACCTTGACCTTTAATTTCTCAATTTTTATATACAACATCAGACTTTCATGACTTTGTTCCTAGGTCAGTATAATTCTTTCAGATTGACTTATCAGTAACCATGTGTCAATCTAACACAGAGGCAAAGATCATATGAAATGAATGGCTGAAAACAAAAAATCTTAAATAAAATTGAGAAAGGAAACAGGGAATGTGTCAAGGAGACAACAACCCGACCAAAGAGCAGAAAACAGCTGAAGGCCACCAATGGGTCTTCAACACAGCGAGAAAATCCCGCACCCAGAGGCGGGCCTCAGCTGGCCCCTTAAAGAAAATAAAATGTATACTAGTTCAGAGAAAATGGACATCACACTAAACTCCGAAACATATAAGTGAAATAAAATTAAAAAAACATACAAGACTAACAAAGGCCAGAGGTTCCCGACTTGGGACAGGCACAAAAACTAAAAGAGAAAGATAGAAACTTTAAAAAAGGAAAAATGATCAGCAGGACAAGATCTACACATATGTCAACATGACAGAAAATTGTCAGTGAACTCATTATAGATTGATTGCCATTTAATGATGATTTTTACCAAAAAGTGGCCTTTGTTGAATGTGCAGGTGAGCGACACAGGCACTTTAGAGCCTCTAGTTGAAGATTGTCAGTGTATTTTTTCTTTGCAAGACTTTACTTGGGGTTTTGGGCTAGCCAATCTGGCTCTATTTCACCACTGTATACTATGATCATGAAGATGGGGATAATTCTGAATTTAAGGCATATTTATTTGCAGAAAGTAACAAACACTTATTTTCTCATTTTCCATCAATTTCTCTCATGTAATATGCCTTTAAATGACAAAATGAAATACAGATATGAGATGAAGCTGATAAATTCAATTCTATTTATTACCAAATTTCTTTTCAAATCATCGGGCAGAGCTTATGTTCATGATGTTTTACTTTGCTTAAGGACAGACTATTTGAAGATGTGTTTGATAAGGATACAAAAGAAAGAGTGTATGATGTGGGACAAATAAAATATAAATTTATGGCATTTATATGTGCTATAGCTAAAGTATTTTAAAGTATCAGCTATTGCATTATTCTGCTTAAAACCTTTCTAATTGTGAGATTAATTTTAAACATGAGTTATATATACACCCTATATTTCCTTTCTTAAATATGGTCATAATATACAGCTTTAACAAAGACACAAAAAAAATAGACAGAAAAGATAGATAAAAAGATGGTAAAAATAAAAAACAACCAAAAAGAAGGAGAGTGTAACCATCCCACTCACCTCACCCCCTTGAAAAATGATATATGCATATTTTCCAACTGCCGTCATCATAGTTATACTTTCAGATCCACAATTTCCAAACTGTGACATTTTTTACATGTTTTTAAACTCGGTTTTACAAGAAATTCAACGACTGTGTCTCACTATTTACTTTGCAAATATGCATATAGTTTTCTACATTGGCTGAAGGTATAGGGGGAGGGTTGAGATCTCATAAACATGTTTGGCCCCGCCGCATTTTTGCGCCTGTCCCAAGTCAGGAGCCTCTGGCCTTTGTTAGTCTTGTATTATTTTTAATTTTAGTTTCTTGTGTAGTTATGCGTTTACTTTTCTACATTGGCTGGAGGTATAGGGGGAGGGTTGAGATCTCATAAACATGTTTGGCCCCGCCGCATTTTTGCGCCTGTCCCAAGTCAGGAGCCTCTGGCCTTTGTTAGTCTTGTATTATTTTTAATTTAAGTTTCTTGTGTACAATTTGGAGTTTAGTATGGCGTTCATTATCACTGAACTAGTATATATATTTGTTTAGAGGCCAGCTGAGGAACGCCTCCGGGTGCGGGAATTTCTCGCTGCATTGAAGACCTGTTAGTGACCTTCTGCTGTTGTCTGTTCTATGGTCGGGTTGTTGTCTCTTTGACACATTCCCCATTTCCATTCTCAATTTAATATAGTGTTTACATATTTTTATCGGATCAATAACCATAACTGGACACTTCATTGATGAGGTTATCTAACTGGTTAAGTCCGGCCCAGTCAAGTAAAATAAATTAAGTAATAAGTATACACACAGAAACTTCATATGTAAGATATCCCTATTAAGAGCATACCTTACAGAAAAGATCTCTTATTGATATTTCCTTAAAAATTAGATATGCAGGATATGTATATATATATGCAAAGAAAAATAAACCTTCATGACTTACTTTTCAAGATAGTATTGCCTATTTGAGGTAAAAACACTAATTTTCGTATTTAAAAAAGGCAAATGATATAAAGAATAGAGAAAAATAGGTCAAAATGATAAAGAATAGAGAAAAATAGACCCCAAAAAAAAAAAGATTATAGAATAATGGGGTGCTGAAATATAAAGAATAGAGAATGATGGGCCAAAAAAATAAAGAATAGATAAAAATGGCCTAAAAAGTTAAAGAATACAGAAATGAAGGACACCCATCCAGACCCTCATAACAGATCTTATTACTCTGATGTATTGTTACTTATAACTTAATTACTATCAAAACAATAAACCATTTTGTCATTTCAGCTTTAGAATTTGCCTACCTGATGGCGCCCAAGTCTGCTAAAGGTATCATTATGGGTTTGTTTTATTTGTTCACCGGAGTTGGAAGCTTCATAGGATTTGCATCAATGGCAATCTTTCAGGGAATTTGGTTTGGACCATATGATAGTGGAAATATAAACTGTCGTCTGCCATGTACAGAAAATGGTGGAAAGTTTGACATCAAACTCAAATGCCATTTAGACAATTATTTCTTTTTCCTAGCAGGCATTGAAGTCTTAGGGCTACTGTTGTTTTTGTTTGTTGTAAAAATTTGCCGTATTCAAAATGAAATTTCTGCAGTGGTTCGTCAGAAATCTCAGCCACAGTTAATATCCAAAAGATCAGTTACTGAAAGACTGAAATCACCTGTTTCTTTGCAAAGGCAGTCAAGTTCAGACATCAGTGTCACATGAAAAAACTGTATACTCCATTTATTTTATAAAAATACTAAAGAGGAATTCATAGAAAGAGAAATGAAATGAAACATTCTATTTCAGAAGAAAAATGTACACCGCATTGATTTTGTGTCACGGATGGATACCCTATATCCAGTCCTTTGTTTTTCTATTACAGTAATTAAAAAAAATTACTATAATTATCATTCTCATCTGAATTTTCTGATTGATGATATTTTATAGTTATTTTACATATATCTACAAATTATTAGTAATTTGAATCTTCAATGAACGATACTTTCTCCAGTCATAGGTACATTAAATGTGAGTCTTCTATTGATGAGGTGTCTCTTGCACCATAAAGAAATGAGAATCTGTAAAAAGAGACTGCTACCTACGGTAGGATGCGAGTTTTCTGTGAAAGTTGTGTTCTTTTCCACTGACATCCTTAGGATTGTTCCAAAATTTATCTGGTGGGGATGGGAACACTCAAATAAATTAAATATGGTTGCATTTTCCTTAGAATTTTGTAAGAACTATCTTATAAAGTAAAAGAAAAGTTTTATTTTATGGGTGCCAGGGTCTTCAAAAAGTGCCTCCCATCTCCACCATGTATTTAATTTTGGAACAGCCCTTAAATGTAAGTCTCTAAAGACATGTATAGCATCTGTCAAACCATTTCCATGAAATTCTTATACCATTTTATTATTGTGCAGCACTGATTTTATTTATGTATTATATATTTATATACTTTTCCATGTAAATATTTCACTAGGATTTTTAAAGCGTTCGCATAGTTTGTTTACATAGACAACGTATCTACCTTAAAGCTGAATAAATCAATGAAACTTTCAAGAATCTCTTCCGTGCCTATTGATATTGTTCACCTTATTGCCTGGGGTCATGAACTAATTTCTGTGAAAAGGGCCAAAATTTTACATGAACAACTTTCAGAAATGATCAAAACTAGACTATAGTTGTGCCCATATGCAAATTATTCAGACATTATTTCATACAATTAGACTATCTTATCTTACAAATGTATAACAATATGCCAGTCTAAAACAAGATTTTTAGTAAAAATTTGAGATAAGTGTCTACAAATTCTTGAAAAATAAATATTTCTGAATAATGTGTCAGAAAATTATCCTATCCCATCAGGCATCATTCTTACTTCCAGTTAAAATATACTTGTTTTCAGTCCTGTTTAACTGTACAATGGAATCCACTTAAATGTATACCTTCTAATTACAAAATCCTGCACATTTATTGGCAGGTGCATGTGACTCAAATCTTAAATTACTAGGCTTACCAGATTTCCTGAGTTCTCTCAGGGCACTCCTACTTCCTCCACCAATAAAAACAAGCTGTCAGGATATAGTCAATAGTGCTGAAAGTAGCATTAAACACCAACAATCAATCAATCAAAACAACTTGGAACTCTTCCCTTTACCACCACCATTATGTGTATATGAATTGAAACAATAGGTACACATAAAGTCATATGTTAACTTCTAAATGTAGTTTTGTTTTTTATTCTTGCTTGGTTGATTTCTCATTTATATATACCTCATATCACCTTTCACTTGTCTTTTGCATTTTTATATTAATGCACCTTAAACTTTTTTACTCATTGTTTCCATGTTTTAAATATATAAAATCAAAAATTATATAATCATTGTACATTATTGTTTGTATTGTAAGGTCACACCAAATCAAGTTGTTGATCTTTGAATTGTTTTATGCTAAAAACTAGGTGAAAGCCAGTGAAATTTTTATTAATTTTATACCGAAATAGGTATATACAGAGAATTTTTAGGACTCTCTAGGATGATGCTTGCACAAATAATTTGTTGCGGCTTTTGAAAGATTGTTAAAATATGGTGCTATCTGATATTGAGCTGTGAAGAGCATTTCTTGCATAATTGTATATTTTATAGATGTAGTTTTGGTAAAGATTATTTTTAATTATCAAAATTGTGATAGATGTAATGTTTTGTTATAATCAAATTATAAAACATTTCCTAATAAAATTTTAGAATATTATAATGACTTTGAAACTTTGTAAAGTCCTTAGAATCAATCTACTTCCTTCTCATAAGAAAGGACCGTTTTTGTCCAAGCTTTATCAGTTTTCAAGTTTAATGATAATTTTGATATTTCTACACAATGTGTCTCTCTGTAAATAACTTGCAAAATAAGGGTTGAAATATATTTTGTATGACCAAACATTTTTGGTGTTTGTAAAATAACTTTTATTTTAATGGATTGATTATTTTGAAATTTGGACATGTTGATTACTGTCCATAATGAAAAATATTTTAAATGGGTTTAATAGATTTTAAGGATAATGGAAACTTCAATTCCTTATAAATATCACAGAAGGGAACAGGGTGGTCGTAAACATTTTGAGATATATTATTGTTGTCAGTGCTTAGACATCTTTGGAAAAATAACCAAAGGACAAAAGACCATACTGCCTTTAGCAATTAGCAAAAACATATATTATTGTAATCTATAAAAGTGATATAATGCAAAATAGAGAAAACCATCATCTTAATTTATACTGCAACAAAAAACAAATAATGCAGACAGCAACCAACAGCAAACTGGATTACAGGTTTGTGTCTTGGGACAGACAATTATAAGTGTCAAGAGTTTTTAAGATGTTTGTTAGTGTTCCACCCTCCTCTATAGGAACAGATTGTTAAAAGGAAAGGGCTTGACTCATTATTTAGGTACTATATACAAGAACAAATAACAAAAAGACAAAAGACACAAAGTACTTGCAGATACTGGAGGCTGGTGCCTTCAAACATTGTTTAACCCATCCCATTGGTAATGTGCCTATCCCAAGTCAGGAGCCTGTAATTCAGTGGTTGTTGTTGGTTCATGTCTGTCCTGTTGATCCTGATTCGGGCTATATTAAAGGTTAACAATAATTTGTAATGTTGTTCCTGTGGTTCAGGCTATATTAAAGGTTAAGAACAGTTTATAATGTTGTCCCTATATAGTTCAGGCTATGTTTAAGGTATACAAAAGTTTGTAATGTTGTTCCTGTGGTCCAGGCTATGTAAAAGGTTAACAAAAGTTTGTAATGTTGTTCCTGTGGTTCAGGTTGTGTTAAAAGTCAACAACAGTGTGTAATGTTGTTCCTGTGGTTCAGGCTATATTTAAGGTGAACAACAGTGATTAATGTTGTTCCTGTGGTTCAGGCTATATTAAAGGTTAACAATAATTTGTAATGTTGTTCCTGTGGTTCAGGCTATATTAAAGGTTAACAACAGTGTGTAATGTTGTTCTTGTGGTTCAGGCTATGTTTAAGGTCAACAACAGTGTAATGTTGTTACTGTGGTTCAGGCTATGTTTAAGGTCAACAACAGTGTAATGTTGTTCCTGTGGTTCAGGCTATGTAAAAGGTGAACAACAGTGTGTAATGTTGTTCCTGTGGTTCAGGCTATGTTTAAGGTCAACAACAGTGTAATGTTGTTCCTGTGGTTCAGGCTATGTAAAAGGTTAACAACAGTTTGTAATGTTGTTCCTGTGGTTCAGGCTATGTTAAAGGTTTACCACAGATTGTTTTTGTTAATCCTGTGGTTCAGGCTATGTTAAAGGTCAACAACAGTGTGTAATGTTGTTACTTTTGTCCAGGCTATGTTAAAGGTTAACAACAGCTTGTAATGTTGTTCCTGTGGTTCAGACTATGTTAAAGGTTTACCACAGATTGTTTTTGTTAATCCTGTGGTTCAGGCTATGTTAAAGGTCAACAACAGTGTGTAATGTTGTTACTTTTGTCCAGGCTATGTTAAAGGTTAACAACAGCTTGTAATGTTGTCCCTGTGGTTCAGACTATGTTAAAGGTTTACCACAGATTGTTTTTGTTAATCCTGTGGTTCAGGCTATGTTAAAGGTCAACAACAGTGTGTAATGTTGTTACTTTTGTCCAGGCTATGTTAAAGGTTAACAACAGCTTGTAATGTTGTTCCTGTGGTTCAGACTATGTTAAAGGTCAACAACAGTGTGTAATGTTGTTACTTTTGTCCAGGCTATGTTAAAGGTGAACAACAGTTTGTAATGTTGTTACTGTGGTTCAGGCTATGTTAAAGGTGAACAACAGTTTGTAATGTTGTTCCTGTGGTCCAGGCTATGTTAAAGGTGAACAACAGTTTATAATGTTGTTACTGTGGTTCAGGCTATGTTAAAGGTGAACAACAGTTTGTTATGTTGTTCCTGTGGTTCAGGCTATGTTAAAGGTGAACAATAGTTTGTAATGTTGTTACTGTGGTTCGGGTTATGTTAAAGGTGAACAACAGTTTGTAATGTTGTTACTGTGGTTCAGGCTATGTTAAAGGTCAACAACAGTGTAATGTTGTTCCTGTGGTTCAGGCTTTGTTGAAGGTGAACAACATTTTGTAATGTTGTTACTGTGGTTCAGGCTATGTTAAAGGTGAACAACAGTTTGTAATGTTGTTACTGTGGTTCAGGCTATGTTAAAGGTGAACAACAGTTTGTGATGTTGTTCCTGTGGTTCAGGCTATGTTAAAGGTCAACAACAGTGTAATGTTGTTCCTGTGGTTCAGGCTATGTTAAAGGTTAACAGCAGTGTGTTATGTTGTCCCTGTGGTCCAGGCTATGTTAAAGGTGAACAACAGTTTGTAATGTTGTTCCTGTGGTTCAGGCTATGTTAAAGGTCAACAACAGTGTAATGTTGTTCCTGTGGTTCAGGCTATGTTAAAAGTTAATAGCAGTGTGTAATGTTGTCCCTGTGGTCCAGGCTATGTTAAAGGTATACAACAGTTTGTAATGAACCTGTGGTTCAGGCTATGGTAAAGGTTAACAACAGCTTGTATGTTAAAGGTTAACAACAGCTTGTATGTTGTTCCTGTGGTTCAGGCTATATTAAAGTTAAACAATGTCTTGTTATGTTGTTCCTGTAGTCCATGCTATGTTTTTCTATGAATTCCACTGATCAAAATTATAGGAAGTATACCCAGTACTTAAAACAGTACATTATCCTGCCACATGTTCATTTTCTTGTCTAAAACCAGGAACCTGGACAGTGGTTGCCTCCAGTTATATATTAAGTGCCAATCTGCCTAAGAATCAGGCAGTTGTGAAAACATGACAAACAAAAACCCACTAAAGTTGACATCAATATAAGATCAAAATGTATAATGGTGCATGAATATAACATTCGTTTCCTTGTCCTGTTCTGGTAATTCAAGATATAATTTCGTTGAAATGCACTAGAGCCAAGTAACAATTAAGGGAAGCTAACTCTGTAATTTGCTATCATTCTAGCCAAAATTTATCTAGAGATTTCTCGAATTACTAGACATGCAGAAAAGAAAGACCTACCATTTCTAACTCAGGATGAAGGTAACTTCAAAATAGCATGGTTAGGTCGGTAGGTTTTTATCAGCCATGTTTTGATTTTTTCAAAATTGCCTGATTCTTACAAAGACTGGCACTTAATGCTTTATAAACTTTTGTGTTTGCCACAGAATTATGTATATTATTTGTTAAAATTTATTCAGAACTTTTACTTTTGTTCAAGACCTTTTTTGTGGCATTGGGTTGCTTTTGCATTGATGTACAACCAACATCTCTTTTCATTCATTGCCCAATGAAAAAGTAAAATCCTTCAAACTTGTTTTTCATAGTTGAATAAATGAATATTTCTAATTAAAGTTTTCACCATAGATGCTATCTTAAAAGAATGAAATTTGAAAGTAAAATCAGGATCCAGAAGGGGGTATTGACTTATAAAAGAGATCAAGCCACCAGAAGAAAAAAACCCAAGTCAGATAAAGGTGGTCAGATATGTCTTAGGCAAAATTATGTTGGTGAATGCCAAACCTACATAAAATTTTATAAAACTTTTAAATCATCTATCCTGCTACGGAGGAAAATTAAACAAAAGAATGTGTGTACTCTGTAATATATTTATTGGCGTTTCTGTTTTTAATACACTATCACAGACACACACATATATATCTATTCTCTGCATAAAGACAACAACAATCTCTCTTTAAGTACCATTCATAAATACAACATTTCAAACTGAGAATTACAAACATATGACCATTATTTTAGCAAATAATAAGGAATAAAATTCTATACAATACATCACATGATTTTCATGTAAAAAATAACTGAATGCTAACAAATACTATATGGTTATCCTCATTGATACAATAGGGAAAGAAAAAACAGTAAGTTCAATTGAATTAAAGTTTCTAATCGAGTCTCCTTATGAACAAATATAAATCAAAGTTTCTAATCGAGTCTCGGTATGAACAAATATAAATCAAAGTTTCTAATCGAGTCTCGGTATGAACAAATATAAATCAAAGTTTCTAATTGAGTCTCGGTATAACCAAATATAAATCAAAGTTTCTAATCAAGTCTCGGTATGAACAAATATAAATCAAAGTTTCTAATTGAGTCTCGGTATAACCAAATATAAATCAAAGTTTCTAATCGAGTCTCGGTAAGAACGAGGCTCAGTATTAACAAATATAAATCAAAGTTTCTTATCGAGTCTCGGTGTGAACAAATATAAATCAAAGTTTCTAATCGAGTCTCGGTATGAACAAATATAAATCAAAGTTGCTAATCAAGCCTCGGTATGAACAAATATAAATCAAAGTTTCTTATCGAGTCTCGGTATAAACAAATATAAATCAAAGTTTCTAATCCAGTCATGATATGAACAAATATAAATCAAAGTTTCTAATCGAGTTTCAGTATAAACAAAAATAAATCGAAGTTTCTAATCGAGTCTCAGTATGAACAAATATAAATCAAAGTTTCTAATATAGTCTCAGTATGAACAAATATAAATCAAAGTTTCTAATCGAGTTTCGGTATGAACATAAATAAATCAAAGTTTCTAATTGAGTCTTGGTATGAACAAATATAAATCAAAGTTTCTAATTGAGTCTCGGTATGAACAAATATAAATCAAAGTTTCTAATCTAGACTCCGTATGAACGAGTCTCAGTATGAACAAATATAAATCAAAGTTTCTAATTGAGTCTTGGTATATATGAACAAATATAAATCAAAGTTTCTAATTGAGTCATGGTATATATGAACAAATATAAATCGAAGTTTCTAATCACTTCTCGACATGAAAAAATGTAACAACAAAATTTAGCATCCATAAAACAACAAAATTAAAAATAAACATTGATAATGCCTCTTTTAAATGAAACTTACACAAGTCCATATTATCATCAAAACTCAGCCTTGGATATATTCATATTGATCAATTCATATTATTACAATGCCATAAAATTAATCTCAAATCTGTTGTAATTTGGAACAACATTAAGGATTTCAATTTTTCTAAATTTGAAGGGCATTTTGACAAATAACATTCAGTGATGCTGTAAGTCTGGAACCTAAGAAATGAAGAAATCCCGTCATTGGTAAATCTACTGAGACTTTGGTGATTTGTCTGTGAAATCCTTCCAGATTAAATGCCAAATTATCTAAGGGACAAAAATCATCTTACAGATGATTAGCTCTTAGATTTTCCTGACTTATTTGTTCATAAACCTGATTTATCAAGGAGGATGGTCAACTTTTTATAAAGGGAAAAGTGATTTCATAATTTTTTAGTTGTTAAATATAGAGACTAGAGGGTTTGTTACCACTAATGCCTACACAATGCACTATGCAACTGATTTCTAATTCTTAGCTGTCTTGAGAATCTCAAAAAATTGTTACGCCTAACATTTGTTTAATGCATAGTCACAATAGTTGATTTTCACAAAATTTAAAACACATTTACACATCATAAAAATAACAGTATGCATACACAAACACATTCACATGTTTGTAGTTTTAAAAAACATTGTGACAATCATAGAAAGATCAAAAGGTCTTTGTAATGTAACAGCATGTTCTGTCTAGCTATGTACATTAATACCTTATTTCCCCCCATCAAAAAGATCCCATTTATTATTAAACATCTCACTCTAAATTTTAATCCATGCTCAAATAAAATTGAGAATGGAAATGGGGAATGTGTCAGAGAGACAACAACCCGACCAAAGAGCAGAAAACAGCCGAAGGCTACCAATGGGTCTTCAACACAGTGAGAAAATCCCGCACCCGGAGGCGGGCTTCAGCTGGCCCCTAAACAAAAATGTGTACTAGTTCAGTGAAAATGGACGTCACACTAAACTCCAAAACATATAATTGAACTAAACAATGTCTTGTTTATTGTTGTTTGTTTAATCTATTTTTTCTCAAGAATCAGATTTTAGGGGTTGGCATGGTAATTTTTATTAACAATATTTTTGGTAATTTCTGTTATTCTTTTTATGTTTCAATTATTTATTACAATATGTGCTGAAATACTTTTGAAGAGATGTTCAGTCTATTAAAGACAAATCATATTATGGAAATAAATCAAGTCTAAAGACACAAGACACTGTGTGGAACGATCAAAACAATAAAACAATCATGTTTGTGTAATTGTCTAGCTACATGTATATTATGAAGTTTTAGGCATAGTAAAAAATCCTTTGAAGCAAATTTAATATTATATAAGATTAAGGTTTTTAGAAATAATTAAATGGTATTCTTTGGTGTTATCATGTATATCATGTATTAGGAAACGATAAATAATACTCTATTGCACAAAAAACAATAAACAATAAACAATAAAGTAAGAGAACGGAAACCAATTTCGGGACGTACATATGTACAGACTTACAGATAGACAAGGGTAACAGTTAATGCCCCCTCCGCTGCAGCGGGGCATATTTAAGTTGCTGAGATAACATTACATTTATATTTAAATAATATTAGGTTTCAGCTCAGATCATTTGATTTGCAGTGCATATTTATTGTAACAGACAATAATAATTTGTAAATTTCCAGCATTAGATTATATTTGATTACTTGAGGAGCTATATGACCAAAATAGAAAATTCTGTCCTAGGTCGACTTTGTCTGAGCCAGTTGGAGGCTTAGTTTCTTAATAATTTCTTAATTTATCAATGGAGAATTTTAGGAATGTATGTTATAAATCATGTAAGTATCGAATCACTATGATGTCATACATTCTATTTCTACTCAACCAAAAAAATCTCATATCACTCCAGTAATGTGAGATGGAAAATTATTATACAGAAAAATTAAGAAAATAGTGATAATGCAGAATATATACGGGGCCAGTTTTCCTTCTTATCTACACTTAAGGGTCTTAATGGGGTATTCATTTCTGTATTCTTTATTTTTCAGTCTTATCTTCTTTTCTTTATATTTTAGCTCCTTATAATTCTCTATTCTTTATCTTTTAGCCTGTTTTTCTCAACAATTTACAGTTTATTTTTTTGCCCTATATTATCTATTTTTTTACCAATTGTTTTTTTATTCTATAAACCCTATCCAGACCCTATTAATAAATACATGTGCAACAAATCAATTGTCTATTTTGGCAACAAAAATCACACATATTTGACAAGATATTGCATTGGTAGGAACAAATAATGATACAAATTATTATATCAAATTACCCTGTCAATAAATTATATCAATACATAATAACGATGAAAGTTCATTATTTAGAGAGCAACCTATATTAAAGTTAACATAATATATAATTCCTCAACAGCTTAATAAATCAAAAGTCAATTTCAATTTACTCCTTAGAGTCTTTCTATAAGTCAGTCTCCTTATAAGATTCACGATAGCTTTTCAGAATAATTTGATATCTAAACAAAAAATAATTAATATATTAATTTTCATCCAAGTCCACTCATTCCATCTGCACACCACGTGCCCTTTCAATATATGTATTATCCATTCATAACAGAATCAGGCGATAAGCAGCCAAAACATAAACAACACGGCCACCCATAAGAAAACTTTAGACAGGAATTGTTCCTCTGTGTGATGTGGTGAACCTGGTGCAGCTATAAATAAAAGAACATTTTTGGAATTTGAATAAAAGCTATCTCCCTTCTTTCAGAGCTTATGAAGTAAATTTTGAATTATAATCAAATTGTTAACTTTTTTTACAGGTAAGCCTTAAATATACTGTACGTATAAATTCCAATACTTAGTTGGTTGTTACTGTGAATAACCAGATAAATAAAATTGAGAATGGAAAGGCTGTAAATAAAAATATTAAATTCTAATAAAAGTTACTTCCCATTTTTCATAGCAAATACAGTAATTTTTTTTACAAATAATTGCATTTTTTCTAAAGCCTTAGGTATACAGTACAAATTCATTTCAATAGTTTCTCGGTTGTGACCTTGAACAACCAGATATTTATAAAGGTCATGACAAACCTTGTATGTAATAACAAGAGAGCGGTATAAAGATATGATCCAGACCACAAATTGTTTCAATACATTTGTTTGTGTGAATCATTGATCTTTAAGATATGTCCTCAAGTCCAGCATTTGAGTCAGGGACAAAAATGTGGTATTTATTTAAAGATCAGACTGAATAAAGTTGTGGCTATTGTCACAAATACATTTCTGACAGTTGAGAACTTAAAACTTTTGCAGTGAGGATCTTTTATAAGTGAACAAGCAACTAAACACCACACCCCTTCCCTACCGGTTACTTAAAGGGGAAAGGCATATAGTTACTTGCTTGCTTAGTTTTTGAGAAATTAAGGCTCTATTCAAGGAATTTTAAGCTAAAAGATTTAATAGTCAATATTTTGAAGGGTCTACTTTGCCACTCAGCTCCAATTCATTTAAATGAATTTTCATAATATATTTACTGTAAGTGTAAATTCAGAAATTTTTGCGAAATCTTCAAATTAAATAAAAAAAAAACAAAAACGAGAGGAGTGTTCCAAAAAATAAAAACTCACTTTTAACATGTTGATACATGTAACATTACAAATGTATTTGTATATAGCATTTCTGGAAATAGCAATAATTAAATCCGTATTTGTGTCTATTGTTGACAATCTCAAAAATAAGAGCATGCAATATTATAAATACAATAATTTCTGAATTCTCAATATGCAAAAGAATGTTAAACAAGGCTTAAATGAATGATTTAAAAAAAAAAAAAAATTTATTAGTTTTTATTGTCTTTGAACTAGCTGTCAGTAACTGCGAGTACTCTCAGAGGGGTGTACTTAGTGTCTTTTTGTTGTGGGGATGTATAAGTACCCTGCCATGTCCACTATGTGTTTTTGTTAGATGTATTTCTATTTGTATCCATCTGATGAGTTAAGTCTTTTCAACTGATTTTTAGTTTGCTCTTTTGTTGTACTGTTACACCACTGTCCCAGGTAAGGAGGAGGTATGGTGCCTACAAACTAGTTTAACCCCGCCACAATCTGTATGTGCCTGTCCCAAGTCAGGAGCCTGTAATTCAGTGGTTGTCGTGTGTTGCTGTGTAACATATTTGATTTTCGTTCATTATTTTGTACATAAATTAGGCCATTAATTTTGAATTGTTTTACATTTGTCATTTCAGGACCTTTCATAGCTGACTTTGTGGTATGGACTTTGCTCATTGGTGACATATAGTTGTTAATTTCTGTGTCATTTAATTTGGTCTCTGGTGGAGAGTTGTCTCATTGGCAATCATAACACATCTTCTTATTTTTATATTAGAGATTTATGATAATAACCAGAGACAAAATATTTTGTTAACATACCTGGAGCAGGTCTTCCATCGTTAAAATTAAAAGCAGATGCAAATATTCCAAATGGAAAAGCACCAATGCCAAAAGACATCTGGAATCCTCCATCTCCCAATCCAAATCCAGGAAAAGCCTAAAAATAATATTACTGATATGTATCAGTCTGTTAACATAGTCAAAGAATTACCGGTATAAAATTTAATAATACAGAATGTAAGATTATCAGATATCATAGGTCTCTTATAATTATTATTGCTTACTCTTCCTCTAATAGTGTGGAAAAATGAAACATTTTGTTTGTACAATTATGAAATAGTGCTAAAACTATAGGTTTTTTTTCACCTTTACAATTTCAAATCGATATTTCTTTAAAATCACTGATGGTTTCATGATGTATTTCTTAATAACAATCAAGAGTTTAATTTCTAACCAGATCAAATGTGAAAAGTCTTAAGAACTGCTATATGTTGCTTTGCTTCCAAACAGTGAAAAAGTTTATACATACATGTACATGTTATATATAGCCCAGCCCACCAAAAAAAAAAACAAAAAAATAATGAAGTGATTTTGATTTTCTAGTTCCCACCACTCTTGGAAAGTAACTATCTACCTATGGATTCATTGGAAAATAAAATACTCCTTTGTAGTTTCATTTCCCATGGGTTTTTCCAAGATGATGTAACAATTCAGTTGAAAAACGTATGTGCTAAAGTGTCCTTTTTAAAATTTGCACCCTACCATTTTCTAATCCTGGTTGGAACATTGTCATTCAATGAACAACTAGCATTTGGCTGTTCACTTTGCCATATAAAGTATAAATTTTCAAATTATGAGATTATAAATCACTAACTGTACCTTTAATAAAATGCTTCGCTGGGCGCAGCTTGATACGACAGCAGAGGTCGAACCCTGAACAGTTGGGGCAAGTATGGACACAACATTCAAGCTTGATACAGCTCTGAATTTGGATTGTGATTAAATATTTGACACAGCATAGGTTTCTGACACAGAAAGAATGTGGTCTAAGAACTTCAATTTTTTTTTAATTTACCTATTATGGTCCAATGTCCAAAATCAAAATACATGGTTAGATTCAGCATATCAAAGAACCCCATATATTCAATTTTTGTTGAAATCAAACAAAGTTTAATTTTGGACCCAAACTTGGACAAACTTAAAAACTGGTCCCATAATCAAAAATCTAAACACATGTTTAGATTCAGCATATCAAAGTACCCCAAGAATTCAATTTTTGTTAAAATCAAACTAAGTTTAATTTTGGACCTTAATGTAGACCAATTTAAAAAACGGGACCCAAAATTAAAAATCTAAAAACACGGTTAGATTTGGCATATCAAAGAACCCCAATAATTCAATTTTTGATGAAATCAAACAAAAAAGTTTAATTTTGGACCCTTTTGACCTCAATATGAACCAATTTGATAGCGGGGTCCACAAATAAAAAATCTAAATACATGGTAAGATTCAGCATATCAAAGAACCCCATATATTCAATTTTTGTTGAAATCAAACAAAGTTTAATTTTGGACCCCAATTTGGACCAACTTGAAAACTGGGCCAAAAATCTAAAATCTAAATACATGTTTAGATTCAGCATATCAAAGAACCCCATATATTCAATTTTTGTTGAAATCAAACAAAGTTTAATTTTGGACCCCAACTTGGACCAACTTGAAAACTGGGCCCATAATCAAAAATCTAAACACATGTTTAGATTCAGCATATCAAAGAACTCCAAAAATTCAATTTTTGTTAAAATCAAACTAAGTTTAATTTTGGACCCTTTGGACCTTAATGTAGACCAATTTAAAAAACTAGACCCAAAATTAAAAATCTAAATACACAGTTAGATTTGGCATATCAAAGAACCCCAATAATTCAATTTTTGATGAAATCAAACAAAGTTTAATTTTGGACCCTTTTGACCTCAATATGAACCAATTTGATAGCGGGCCCACAAATAAAAAATCTAAATACATGGTAAGATTCAGCATATCAAAGAACCCCATATAATCAATTTTTGTTGAAATCAAACAAAGTTTAATTTTGGACCCCAATTTGGACCAACTTGAAAACTGGGCCAAAAATCTAAAATCTAAATACATGTCTAGATTCAGCATATCAAAGAACCCCTTATATTCAATTTTTGTTGAAATCAAACAAAGTTTAATTTTGGACCCCAACTTGGACCAACTTGAAAACTGGGCCCATAATCAAAAATCTAAACACATGTTTAGATTCAGCTTATCAAAGAACCCCAAGAATTCAATTTTTGTTAAAATCAAACTAAGTTTAATTTTGGACCCTTTGGACCTTAATATAGTCCAATTTAAAAAACGGGACCCAATATTAAAAATCTAAATACACGGTTAGATTTGGCATATCAAAGAACCCCAATAATTCAATTTTTGATGAAATCAAACAAAGTTTAATTTTGGACCCTTTTGACCTCAATATGAACCAATTTGATAGCGGGGTCCACAAATAAAAAATCTAAATACATGGTTAGATTCAGCATATCAAAGAACCCCATATATTCAATTTTTGTTGAAATCAAACAAAGTTTAATTTTGGACCCCAATTTGGACCAACTTGAAAACTGGGCCAAAAATCAAAAATCTAAATACATGTTTAGATTCAGCATATCAAAGAACCCCATATATTCAATTTTTGTTAAAATCAAACAAAGTTTAATTTTGGACCCTTTGGACCTTAATGTAGACCAATTTGAAAACTGGACCCAAAATTAAAAATCTAAATACACGGTTAGATTCGGCATAATAAATAAATAAATGTGGTCAAAGATTTTACAAATCTAATGCGCCATACTGGTCTTCCTTTATAAATATGCATTTCTTTAAACATAATTTAAAAGCAGTGTAAGGGAAGTAACCAAAACGTTGTATTTGGATTACCTCCCTTACACTGTTTAAAATTATCTTAATTGTTCATTCACCATTACTTTATACATAATTTAAAAGCAGTGTAAGGGAGATAATTTCAATGATGTATTTGATTTATCTCCCTTACACTGCTTTAAATTATGTTTTGTACTAAAGTATTTGTCCATTAATGAGGACAACCTTGTTTTTCCCCCTTTTTTGCCCCTAATTCTTAAACGGTTTGAGCAATAACCCCCCAAAGCAAATCCTAACCATCCCTTTGTGGTATGGAAACTTGTAGTATAATTTCAGAGAGATCCAGACACTGTTCCACAGTTATTGTCTGGAAACTAGAAAATGCTTATTTTTGGCCCCTTTTTGGCCCCTAATTCCTTAACTGTTGGTACCATAACCCCCAAAATCAATCCCCACCTTCCTTTTGTGGTTTTGAACCTTATGGTAAAATTTCATAGAGATCCATTCACTTAAACTAAAGTTAGAGTGCGAAAACTAATGCGTCTTCGGACGACGACGCCAACGTCATACCAATATATACGACCACAAAAATTTTTTTGTGGTCGTATAAAAATGGTTTTGTTTAAAGAATAACTTGTCCAAACTCACCCCTCCATTATTTTCTGGTTCTGGTCTTTGACCTGGAGGTCTTGGTGGTAACTTTTCTCTACAATTATAAATATGATAAAAGTGACATGAGTCGTCATATCAAACTACAAATGAAATATACATTTACATTAATATATACTAAATTCTGCTACAAATACATTGTTCAAGATGAATTGAAGCAGTAGTCATGGTAGTTATATTAATAACTGAACTACTAACAGGCAGCATGAAGTTTTTGTATTTATTGGTTCTTTGGTTTGTGGTCTCATTTACAAATGTACATATATACCTCACACCCACTGGTACTTAAATTTACATTTATATTACCATACCAGAGATCTGGAAAAGACGTGGTCCGAAGGTTTTGACCAACAAAATTTTGCCAATGACCGACACATTTTTTGGTATTTTGCATTAGAAATATTAGTGAGGACCAGCAGATTTTCTTCAAGGACCACCAGGGAAAACAATATTTCAAGAACTCTGCCATAATCTCATATAAATCTTTGTTTTTCTGAATTACTGGATATAACATTATTTTTACATTTATTTGGCATTCACCAACAAACATAACTGCAGTCAATCATATGATTTCAAAAATTTACAGTAACTTTTTCGCAAGGTACATAGTTGTACTATAATTCACTGTTAAACCTACCTTGGGTCAGTTTTATCTGTTGACCCTCTTCCATAAATAGGTATTACTTTATCTTTATCTATACCAGCTTTACAAACTGGACACAGCTTTCTGTTAGGTCTTGTTTCTAACCACTGATGTAGACATGGCCAGCTGAAAATGTATTGGATCTTTTAAGTAGAGATATGGTGAAATTCTATGGTATCTATTGAACACTGCTGACCAAATAAAATTTCTTTCATTTTTTTTTAAATTTCTGAGTGACAATAATTATAAGTAAACTTCCACTGTACCAGTAAAATTTAAGATACATGTACCAACTGAGCTAAAGGAGTACTCCACTAGCGCAGCTAATGAAGGGCAGTTATATATCTACTAAGTAAGGGGAAGCACTGCTACCAGTGGCTACTCTGGCTCCAAAAAGTTGGAGCCAGAAAAATCGCCAGCTGCTACATTTTGTCGCCAGTTTGGAAAAGTTTGGAGCCAACTTTAGTCTTGATTTCTTCTACCAAAATTGAAACCATGTTCGATTTAAATTTCTTATGCACTGTACATCATTTAACTTTAAGTAATGAATTGTCATGTAATGTATTGCTCTGTTATATTATGTTTTTTCATCGGAAGCGAATTACCTGTGACAACAGATTATGACACCTGTTGTAACCGTTGATTAGCTGTGTGTCGTAAACAAAGTCATAAACTTGTCGCCAGGTAAAATTTCATACAATTATTTTTTACTTTTATCAATTTTAAATGACGATTACCATTACAGTGAGTGTCAAGAATTGAAAATTTTGGCATGGGAAAATGTTGGCGCCAGCAGCCGTATTTTGTTGCCAGATGAAATAAATAAACTGCTTCGCTAAGCGCAGCTGGATACGCCCGCAGAGGTTCAACCCTGAACAGTTGGGGCAAAAATGGACACAATATTCAAGCTTGATACAGGTCTGAATTGGGATTGTAATTAAATATTTGACATATTAAAGGTTTCTGAATAAATGTAGTCAAAGAACTTGAAATTGGTTATATGAATTGAATTTATATTCAATTAAAGATTTCTTGCTGTTGTGCAATACACTGAGCTGTTGCGCAATACTAAGTAAATCTGTTGTCAGACTATAAACAAATAAAGTTCAATTTCTTCTCAATGTCATATTTGAAATTTATGAAAATCAATAGGGAGATTACATCAATAGCTATAAATAATTCACCAAAGTTTCATGAGAACTGATGAAATTTTTGAGTTATTGTTGAAAAACTGGAAAATCCCCCCTTTTTTAATGAATAAAACCCTATAACTCAGAAATGTAAAATCTAAAATTTATAAAATTCTAAAGGGAGCTTACATCAACATGATCAATAGATATAAACAATTCACCAAAGTTTCATGAGAACTGCTGAAAGCATTTTTCAGTTATTGTCAGAAAACTTTTTTTGACAGACTGTCAACAGTATACCATAATACGTCCCGTAAACGGGCGTATAAAAATCGAATTTGTGACATTGTCAAACCCCAGCGCAGTCCCTGGCTACAGTCCCCCAAACTCAAGAGTCATTATACTATAACATGTATAATATCAATATCTTCATCACTTCCTCTGAAAGAACATTTATTCCTTTTAACCATTGGTTATTCTTTTGGGTGCCTATTTTGTAACTGGAGAGCACGATAATACTTCCAAAATTCACAACTGTACCAGCCGGGTTTCAACTCTAGAACACCTAGCACAGTAAGCCATTGCTCTACCAACTGAGCTTAATTATAGAAGTAACCCAGTAGCTGACTGGCGGTATTGGGTCCGTTCGCACCCCACATGTTCCACCTCTGGGCTCGTTCGCACCCATTTTTATTTGTTTGAATCATTAGTGTTTTTATTTATTTATCAAAATATTTAAACTTTCATGATTAAATTTCGGGAATTTTTAAATAAAATATTTTTTTGGTGATTTGATGATCAATTATTTTAATTATATACATGATATACATGTATAATTAGTGTTAGTTGGTATTGACAAAGCCAAATTTGGTATTATTGTTCTGTGTTTAAAAATCATGATTGTTGTTATAACTAGCTTTGATGTAAAAACTGCATGTAGTTAGTTTGGTATGAGTAAACTCAATGAAGATTTGATTATCACTGGGACACAATATATTGTATAACAGTCCCAGATGATCATGATTAATTTCGTCAAAAGAATTAATAAAACACAAAAGGAAACCTGTTTACTGTTTATGTTTTTATAATGTCACTTTATTTTGAAACAATGAAAAAAAATTATTTATACCATGCAAATACACAAACTTAAACACGATTAAATATCTATTCTACACAAAAACCAAATAAAACAGACCCAGGGTGCAAACATGTGGGGTGGGAACATGCAAGGGGGTGAACGTGAATCACTGAATGGGAGCGAACAGACCATGATTCCTGACTGGTGTACATGTAGCTAATGGAGGGCGGTTATCATGGTTATATATCTACTAGGTAAGGGAACATTATGAAATACTGTGGCTGAATCGACTATATTTGAACAGGTACTTTGGCTGACATGACCTGTGGCTGTATGGCTGAAACGTCACGAAAGCTGATAATCCCCACTCCCTGATCTGGATAATTTACGAACTCCAAATGTATCTCTAGACTACATAAGATATGTTTGACTATTCGAAACCTATTACAATGTAAAATTGAATAATAAACTAACCAAAACAAATGACCACACATGCTGACAACAGCATCTTTAGCCGTGTCAAGACAAATGTTACATTCATAAAATGTGGAGTCTTCGTTTTCTGGAGTCTCAGATTTGTTCGGCGGAACATCACATCCACCTTCCGCTCCTTCTGGAGTCTGCGTTGTGGAACTCATTTTACTTTACTAAATGGTTTTCATTTCAATAAAAATAAATCAATTCTAGTTTTAACACACAATACGACGAAAATGTGTTTACATTCTGTTTCTAGAACACAGGAAGTCAATTTTGTTGACGTTCCATTACACATGCGTATAACTGATTTGTAAGATAAAGTGTTAGTTCTATGTTGCCAAATCAATAGCAAAAAAGACTGACAAATTTATCATATTTTTTTTTATCTTAAATCTTATTCCCTTTATGACGTATACAATACACTAATTTGTTTGTCGTATGAGTACGACATTTTTTTTTTTGTTTGTTGTGTTTATTAAATTCCAACTCAGTCATTCAAGGGGAGATAACTTAGAAAATATAATTTTATGAAGGAATGTACAGTGAATATTCCTTTCTGGTTTTGCAGCAAGAAAACAAGTTCCATGTCCCAAAATGTTCTTCTTTCTTCTATTGAATGCACATTAGAATTGCTATCTTCTCATATCTTATTTTGAATTCTATCTTTTTTCACGAATTATCTATATAAAATCTGTAAATTTTACACAACATGAAGCTAGAAAAAAAGCTCTGCGATCCATAGTTTTTATGATATTTTTGATAAAAGCATGATATAAACTACATGTTGTCTAAGTATTGAAAAAATAATTCTATCATTTTTGATTTAGACCTCAATCTATCTTACACCATGGTAATTCGAATAAACAGGAAAAAAGGGGAAAAAAAAAAAAAAAAAGAAAAGAAAAGAAAAAAGAAAGAGATCTGTGGAAACGCCGAAATCGAAAATGTTTTGGATATTAGAAGAAAATTTGCCAATAAGCCTTAAAGGAGTGCAAACGCAGACTTTAATTACATTTCATATAATAATTTGTCTTAATCTAATTATTTTCTTTATCAGATTACAAGCAAATGCTTACAATGGCCCATTCTTTGTTTCTTCTTAAATTTATGGAAGTATTTTATAAGAGATATAAATCCTCATAAAATGACATTAGAAGAAAATTTGCCAATAAGCCTTTTACATGTAAAAGAGACCGATCGCGATTTCTCAGCTTAATCTAATTACTTTCTTTAACAGCTAGGTTACAAGCAAATCATACCGCACAATGACCCATCTTTTATTTCAAATTAATGGAAGCATTTTTTAAGAGATATAATTTGTCATATCTATTCAAAACTTCTATGATTTAGCTTAAAAGTGTGTCACTACAAATTGTAGTGACACAATTTTTTATTAGCATATAATCGTTTCAAATATTCAAATTTCGCATTTCGGCTCGCAGCTAGTTTGTTATTTTTTTAGATACTTTACTTGATATCGGTAATGACCAGATCTAGTTGCAAAATAATGAAAATAATATAAAAATGGTTAAAATTCTTACCATACAGTGTCAAGTAGCTTCAATACCTATTTGGTTTAATCGTATGAAATTGTTGCCTTACAACACATCAAATCACCATTTTCATATTTTTATCTTCCTCATGATAAAACATAGATGGCGCTGTAAAGGATAAGTTTGTCAGTGGTTTCAGTCGTGGTTGTGAAAGACCAGCAAGGTCATCGTAAGACTGACAAATCACCCATAAAGTAAGTGAAAAGTTGAACATATAGACATAAGAGTAAATTTATTTATATATTTGTTTTCTTTTATGTTATGAGATTCTCTTGTATGTACATTGACGACATCAGTCATCACTCCCAAATCATGTCTACTTTCACTTTCGTTTTGCTTTTTCTTTGCTTATAACGACAATACGTGTTATCTATTCCAATTTCCCCGAATATTCAAATATACGACCAAATCTTATCATTCCAACAAATGATTTGAAAATTTCTTAATTATTCATGATTTATTGTCAATTATGCATACAAAGGCTATTTCAAGTTCAGGGAATTTTATATATAACTTTATTAAGCACAAATTACACCCATAAGAGGGTTAAAGGCATAACAATTATGTGTATGAACAATATGAAGATGACATACACAGTCTGACCATTGATGTTTTCATGCAGGGGTTTAGTATTATAAATATATCCTACATTGTAGTAGATTTGTATAGATTTTCAAGTTTTCTGCACATTGATATTCTTAAATGTCAGCTTAAGCCACAATGAGAACCTTTTTGGCGAGTGAGCACAACAAAGAAGCAAAAAAGCTTCACATTGTGTTGAGCTGCTGATAGTTTATTGTATCTACACACTGAAAACCGAATAATCGTTTTATCTTGCTTTTTTTTCAGATCTTTCCCCCCACCCTTTGACAGTTATAAAGGCTTGACAAAAATAAGCTTAAATTCATATGAGACTTCAAATTTAAAAAAAAAGTTGAATTTAAGTTTTATTTACTTGAATGGCTAAGTTTTACTATAGAAACAAGTGTACATGAAGCTCCAAACGCTCTGTGTTGATTGTTTATCAATGTCATTATCCGTTAAACCTCGGCAACAAACTTGAAATTTAATTAGCTTGCGATCAACAATCACAGAATGAAATATTATTTGTCAATAATACGTTATAGATTCGTAATGAATATAAAAAACATGTATACAGGACTTAGTTTAGTATATATGCATGCATTGGTTCAATAATTTCGCTAACATTAAAATTACAAGAAACTTGTTTCATATGACTTTAATAATGTCTCCTCAGACTTTGTGACATCACTGATTATTTCGAGTTCTGCCCACGTCTCAAAGCCGTGATACAAAAATTAGGAAGAAGGGTGATATGGGCGTAGGGAAGGATGATAATTATAATCATTAGTGTTCCAGGACATATTTCCAAACCAAAAACATCTATTAAACAAGCCCCTGTGGTCTGAACCCAATTTTGTCTCTTTTGACTTAAAGACTTTTGCAACTTTTAGTTTCTGTTGATCAGTCTATTTTACCAACCTTATTAGTTATCATGTCCATCATTTTGTTGAGTTTCAAAGGTCAGTATACTACCATACACATATAATTTCATTATAGTAAAATTTTTATGACACACTTAGTTATACTGTCTACAAAAATGTATGAAGTGAGGATTTAAGTTCAAATACCCGGAAAAGTTCTTGAAGTAATATGACCTCACTCAGACATTGTTTGGATCCCAGTGCAAGTTAGATGGCTCTCGGTTATACTTTACACTATTAATCACTGTTGAAGCAAAACTTTTTTACATTGATGTAAGTAAATGTTTAGATACAGTCTGGAGTTTAAAAGTCATGATAACTGTGTCAAACCTTCATAGAATTTTATGAAACTATGACTGAAGCAAAATGTGAAAATACTTTTTTTCATTTTTTATACGACCGCAAAAATTAAAAATTTTTTGGTCGTATATTGGTATGACGTTGGCGTCGTCGTCGTTGTCGTCGTCCGAAGACACATTGGTTTTCGCACTCTAACTTTAGTTTAAGTGAATGGATCTCCATAAAATTTTACCATAAGGTTCAATACCACGAAAGGAAGGTTGGGATTGATTTTGGGGGTTATGGTACCAACAGTTAAGGAATTAGGGGCCAAAAAGGGGCCAAAAATAAGCATTTTTGTAACTTCCAGACAATAACTTGTGTGTAAGTGTATGGATCTCTCTGACATTGTACCACAAGGTTCCATATCACAAAGGGAAGGCTGTAATTGATTTTGGGGGAAATTGTCTCAAAATTTTAGGAATTAGGGGCCAAAAAAGGGGCAAAAAACAAGCATTTTTCTAGTTTCATGACAATAACTTGTGTGTAAGTGTTTGGATTTTTCTGATATTGTACTACAAGGTTCCATATCACAAAGGGAAAGCTGGAATTGAGTTTGGGGGTAATTGCCCGAAAAGTTTAGGACTTCGGGGCCAAAAAGGGGCCAAAAATAAGCATTTTTCTAGTTTCCAGACAATAACTTGTGTTCAAGTGTATGGATCTCTCTGAAATTGTACTGCAAGGTACCATACCACAAACTGACAAAGGGAAGGCTGGGATTGAGTTTGGGGGTGATGAATCATAAGGGGGTTCAAAAAATTTGGGGAGGGGGAATTTTTTTTTTTTCTTTTTTTTTCTTTTTTTCATTTTTTTTTCTTTTAAAATTTTCCATTTTAAGTTGGTTATTTCTGATTTATATTTAAAAGCAAATAATAATGATATGGTAGGAGATACACACCAAACAGGATGTGTAAATTATTATATATAAGTATTGTGCAATAGCAAGAAATTTTCAATTGCATTGCACAATAGCAAGAAATCTTCAATTGGACAGTATTGCACAATAGGAAGAAATCTTCAATTGCACAGTATTGCGCAATAGCAAGAAATATCCAATAGCACAATATTGCGCAATAGCAAGAAATTGTCAATTGTACAGTATTGCGCAATAGCAAGAAATATTCAATTGCACAGTATTGTGCTAAAGAAGATACTTCGTATAAATTGCTTATTTCTTGATCAATTTCAATGGGGTTTTATTCTTGAATTCTTGGGGTTCTTTAATATGCTGAATCTAACCGTGTATTAAGTTTTTGGATTTTGGGCCCCGTTTTTAAATTGGTCCACATTGGATCCAAAGGGTCCAAAATTTAACTTTGTTTGATTTCATCAAAAATTGAATTATTGGGGTTCTTTGATATGCCGAATCTAACCGTGTATTTAGATTCTTAATTTTTGGTTCCGTTTTCAAATTGGTCTACATTAAGGTCCAAAGGGTCCAAAATTAAACTTAGTTTGATTTTAACAAAAATTGAATTTTTAGGGTTCTTTGATATGCTGAATCTAAAAATGTATTTAGATATATGATTATGGGCCCAGTTTTCAAGTTGGTCCAAATCGGGGTCCAAAATTAAACTTTGTTTGATTTCAACAAAAATTGAATATATGGGGTTCTTTGATATGCTGAATCTAACCATGTATTTAGATTTTTGATTTTTGGGCCCCGTTATCAACTTTGTCCACATTGAGGTCAAAAGGGTCCAAAATTAAACTTTGTTTGATTTCATCAAAAATTGAATTCTTGGGGTTCTTTGATATGCTGAATCTAACCATGTATTTAGATTTTGGATATTTGACCATAATAGGTGAATGTCCAATTTAAAATTTTTAAGTTCTTAGACCACATTCATTTTGTGTCAGAAACCTATGCTGTGACAAATATTTAATCACAATCCAAATTCAGAGCTGTATCAAGCTTGAATGTTGTGTCCATACTTGCCCCAACTGTTCAGGGTTCGACCTCTGCAGTCATATCAAGCTGCGCCCTGCAGAGCATTTTATTAGTATTTTTAATACTGCTAGATGGACCTATTTTATGCAGTTAACATTTACATACAGTATGAGAATATAATTTTTTAGACATCAATAACTTTGTTAAACCTTAATTGAATGTTACATATTGGACATGGATCAAAAACCTGGAAATAAATTGTTCAAATAAGGCCTTTGAAAATAGTGGAATTAATTACTTTTGGAGTGTCAAAAATTCGTTGGAAGTACTTGATAAATTGCATGCTTACATTGGTGATTTCAAATCTGTTCAAAGTTTTGATTTTTCTACCCTATATACCACGTTGCCTCATAATCTTATTAACAATGATTAAGAAAAAATTCACACACCTTATTAAATGGGCATTTAAAAATTCGGAATGCGAATATGTATATATGTTCAAACTCTTTTAGGTCATTTTTTAGTAACAACAAACAAAAGAACTATGTCAATTGGACCTGCTTTGATACTATAACTGCCGTTGAATTTTTACTAGATAACATTTTTGTTTGCTATGGAGATTTCGTATATCGTCAGGTTATCGGAATTCCCATGGGGACTAAATGTGCACCACTTATCAGTCAAGGGTGTAACTTGAATAAGTTTTTAGAGAAAAATAACATACATGTGTTATTACGGATACTTTCTCTTAATCTGTAGTAACATATGTTTGTTATCAGTTAAATGTACTATAAAAATTTTTATTTTCAGTGGGCACTTGGGAGTTCTTGAAACTTGCGCAGTAACTTAATACATAACCTTGAAAACTAATTTTCCAATTCAATTAATACACTTTTGATCAACCATGGTAAATCAATGAGACGAGGCTTTCAAGTGATAACTTAGCTGTAATAACAAGGATTAGTTATTACAGGCATTTAACTTATTACATGAGACACTTGGGAATGACTAGGAAGCTTGCGCAGAACCTCATTACATGCTCTTATCATTATTTATTACAATAAATTAAAATACATTGTGATATATGTAGGAGAAAAGGCTTTGAAGAGATGTAGAGAAGCTGTAATAACACCCTTTAGTTATTACAGGCATATTTTTTTCTGTAATAACATGGGTGTGTTATGCATGATTGGCAAACTACAGGCTGTTATGTCTTTCTAAAGTTTAATATACATGTACATAAAGACAATTATAATATCAATAGAACTAGTACACAATTTAACAAAATAAAGGATGTATAATGCTCCTTTGAAACATGTAACATACATATGTTATCACAGATTTTTTGATATTTTAGCCCTCAACAACAAGTGTATGTTATTTTTATGCATTAAGTTTTACCCTTGTCCGTCTGTACGTACGTACGTACGTCCCAAAATTGGTTTCCGTTCTCTAACTT